AATTTTAACGAACCATTATTTACCTCTATCTAGCTGTGCTGTTATCAAGCCTTTTATCCAAACAAACTCCCAGAGAAAGAAGGTAAAAACCTGCAATACAACAATTCAGTTTATATGCTGTTTGTTACGATGTAGATAATAACTGGAAATTACCCGAAGTATTTTATTCCTACATATTTACCAATCTGGTTAATCTCCATGACAACAACTACCTTTTAAACAATTCATATGTATGTATATGTGCAATTATATGTGGTATCAAGAGCCTACTGGAAGTGTACATTATGTATGTGGACAATTTTGTGTAGGATTTCGTGCACACGGTTATCAGTATTCGTTCTATAACTACTGTAAATACGGTAAAAGCACAAAAAGTTTCTTCCACCAGCACATATGGATACTTAAGGCATCAGAGGAATGTATAGTCTCGTAGAAATAACCCTTCACTCAGATCATGCCGTCATGCGGTAGTTACTATTATCTGCGTATACATCCTAACGTATCAGTCGTAATCACCCACTGAACTTGACAATCAGTAGGAATAAGCACATATTTATACAGTTCAATCTGACACAATGTGCATAGACTGAGCCATTGGCTAACACCTTGGATTCTCTGATTTCAAGAGACACGAAAGTTCTCCACGCTGATATGCGTTCAAAGAAATGGCATTCAATAACGCGTCACACTTAGGTGTAGAAAGCAAAGGGAAATAACACTTCACTAATAAATCGCAACCTTTGTGATCCTCGGGCCAGGTGTAGTTTAAAATCTATCTGTCATATGACAGTTCTTTCTATCAGTTTGATTATCATTAATTTTCACCTGGTTTATTCTCTTGGTACATTCTCAGGATTCTCCATGTTAATCTATTTTGTGTTTATATTTTGCCTAGTTTTATTGAAATTGAGTTTAAATTATTATGATATTGACGTAATGTTGGTGTTTCCTTGTTGTTGTTTTCATCCTGGTGACAAATTGTGATGTCCTTGTGTTAATACTTTGTTCTTCAAGCTGTTGCTCCAACCCCTGACCTCTCCTTGCTTTGGTTATTGACCTTATGTATTACAAGCAATGTCACGTCAAGTGATAAAACACATCCCTGCTCTACTGTATCTAACCACTAAGTTGTAGTAAGAAGTGTTATTGACTTGTTCTTTTGTACAACCTTTGAAGACTAGGAAGAAAGTGAGGAAACTCCAAAGAAATCGAGAGTGATCCAAAAAATGATGATGAGGTGCATTAGCCCCATTATCAAACGATTTTCGTAATTTTCCTATTTCTGATAGTCACTCGAATGTTGCAAACCATGTCGCTACTCGATTGAATTAAAACGTTGAATGCAGGTTACGGTAAACCTAGGGGACTAAAGGTTTACCAGCAGTGTCTACCACCTAATATCGCCCTTGCAAAGGTGGTATCTTCTCTTAGAAAACATCAATTGCTGTTCATATTGATATTGCAACATAGTGGCTAATTATACATCCTCTGATTTTTTGTTCCTGTACTTTAAAACCCTAAGATTTAGATATGGAGCCTTTGTGATTTAGCGTCCTATAGTCAAACGCTGATGATACGATGATATTTGGCCCCCATTAAATTTGAATTTGGATTATGATTATTGTGACATGTTGGTATCTTTGTTTTGTTTTTGTTCTTTATCAAAAATATGTATTAGAAAGAAAACAAGTTCAATGTTATATATATGTAGTATTTAATTGGCATGACATCGGGTTTTGAACAAGGTTTAGGTCTTGGGTATCAGTTGCATCTATAAATCATTCTATCTGGGTTCCCGTAAAAAGTACCTTTCCTTGTTTGCCTTTTAATTTCAAGCAATCAGTCACCTTCTTTTGTAAACGAGCTTGTTGAGTAAGTAAATGCGTCGGTGGTGTAACGGTCAGCATGGTTGCCTTCCAAGCAGTCGATCCGGGTTCGACTTTTACTTTTGAAGAATTCTAGGTGTTTGTCCCCTATTTAACATGCTTTATTTATGATATTGGATATATACAACTGGGTTTGGGCACATGATTTCCAAATCATATGACATGTCGTCTTTTTTTCAAAACAATAAGAAATTCGAAAACGAACAGAAGAAAATAAGCGGTATAACTCAAAATCCCGCATATATCATCAAATTAGGCATATATATTAACGAAGCACTTCAATATTGCATTGGTGTTATAATTATAATTATAATTCATTAATGCTATCTAGATTAATCTGTGTTTCCATAATTCGCGAATCAATAGTATATTTTTTATTATCCAATTGACCTCGAGAAATTATGACGAATCCTTAATTCATACAACACAAAACTGATTAAAAATTGAATTTCTTTACAAATGGACAAATATGCCAGTAAAATAATCCATACTCGTGATCAGCGGCAATATGTTTATTGTAATCTGCAGTTATACAAAGTCAAGCGATTTTAGCAAGTTAACATATCTTAACGTAGTAACCAAATTTTGGAATTTTGCAGAGGGAGAGCTGTCCATTCACGTCTCACAAAGATATGTCTGTATGAATGAACCATCTGATCAGACTTCTGCATTTTAGTCATTGATAATTTTCGTCAAATTGGTCCTTATACCTTTCCTCGTTATCATGACTGAGGACATTGTTGTAAAACGGAACCTCGAAAGCATAGCATAAACAAATCGCCGAATTAACTTGAAGTCCAGGTTACCCTTACCCACTTGCTGACATCCTTTTGGTCTTAATTGGGCCTATTGCGGTTACACAAGCGTGTTTAGTGTTATTCAAATTTAATTTAAAATGGAACCTTGTTTATTTTTTCGAGAAAACTATCATTACGTAAAAATATTCTATCCGTGATAGTCCGCAGTATAATTGATCATCTCACAAATAAGTACTGTAAATGAAATAAAATATCAAAATTGGTGTCATGATATAAGGAATACACGATGATGAAATTGTCATAATAATATATACAAAATATGTCGAAACATCTTATCAGTAATAAAAACAGCAGCTACCAACGTTGGCATTATTTTGAAATACCGATACATTTCTGTATTTTTGGACCGAAGCGGTACCACGGAATATAGAAATCATGGCACGAAATAGCTTTCGAGGGCTGATTAATACATATAAGTTGTGAGTCTTGTATTGAAGAAGTTAATCAGGGGTAGCTCGACTATTCAATAACTATTTAAGGCTGTAAACAAAGCAAGTGACGTTTGCAAAATGGACAAAATCACTGAAAAAAGTGATTCAATATTTGCATAAGGTCTAACACATAAGGACATCCACACTGATATGGTAGCAACACAAGAGAATGGTGACCCTTCATATGCTACTGTGAAAAGGAGGAAGGTGGATTTAAGAGTAGCAGACAGAGCTTCAAGGGTGGCGCCCATCCTGGAAAGCCTGTCACTGTGCAATCCAAGAAATGCTCGATGAAGTCCATAATATTGTTATGGCTGACAGGCGAGTTACAAAGATATAATGCTAGTACAACTATTCCAATATTATGGAAGATCTTGAAATGGGAATGCTCTCAGCCTGTGGGGTACCAGGACTTAAGACAGTTGGGCAGACGCACACCAGGTGAACTTTGTCGTGTGCTAAACTGAATCTTTTAGAGACAGATGCTGCTAACTTTCAGCAGAGGTTTGTGACTATGGGTGAAACGTAGGTCAGCCATACCAGCCCAGAGGTTTAACAACAGTCTAACGAATGGAAGCAACATGGCTCACCCACGCCAAAGAATGCATATTTTGCATCACTTCTTAAGAAGATGAGAGAAAGTTTTTAACTCAAGCACCACGGGAACACTCAGTAAATGTGTATTGTTCTATCTCGCCAATGTCCCTGTTCACAAATTGGTAATCACAATGACAATCATTAATGATTGTGAATTTGAATTGATTGAGCATCCGCCTTATTCGTCTGATCTCCCTCCATCAGACTTTCATCCATTGTAACTATTGCGAAAGGCCATTTCCAGTACCCACTTTCGGTCAGATGATGACGTCATACATGCAGTGGAGGATTTTCTGAACTGTTAATAAAATAACTTCCTTAAAAGTCGCATCGTGGCCCTTAAACATCGCTGGCAAAAGTGTATGGATACTGATCGGAATTATGTTAAAAGATCATGTAATATGTCTGCCAAAAATCAATCCCTTAGAGATGAGGTTTACAATTTAACAATAAGCTCTCATGCCATGTGAAAATGTTTTTCACTTCTTTTTATAGTGTCATCTTTACACTAAGTAAAGGAATATTTTGACCTATATTTTCACTACTTTAGATGTTGCATTAAGTTTTAATACTCCGGTACAATTTTTATTTTCAGAAATCCTCATTTTACCGTAGGCCTCAATTCAAATATCTTCAGACATGTGCAATCCTTCATTAAGTCTAGTAACAGATTATTAGTTTATTAGTATGAATTAGTGTAGAAACAATGTATATGCATTTTCCATGATAGCAATGGTTTTCCATATATAACTGATGCCTCATCTCTTGTCCTAAGGTCGACAATAAATATATCTAATTCTGCCATTTCTGGTGAATTTTCGTGTGAATGTTTACCGGCTACATAATGCTATTTGTCAGAATTATCCTCAAAACCATAAAACATTCAAACATTGCATATCATTGCTGTTCTTGATGTAACCTATTCCTTCCATGATGGCTGCTACTTGTGATGTTACAGACAGTAGGGTTTGTTTCAGTATGAGTCACCATTTGGCTGAGTATTAGTAGATGGGCAGGTGAAAATCGTACAACAATATCAGCAACATTGACCCTTTGGTTATTGAGAAGAAGTCATTTAAATGGAAAGTTTATGCATGGCACACAGTGGATGGTGCAAAGCAAATGGCGCATGACGACTGACGATGACAATGACCTAATAAGGTAATTTTACAACGAGCATGTAAACAGAGAGAAAAATAAACAAAAGAATAAATTTGATAAATTTTTGAAATTGATTTTTTATACATATATGATTCAGTAATCACAATTTAAAAACAGAACTAAAAATAAGAGTACATTGTGGAAAGCCTATGAATTCTGTAGATAGATTGATAAATTCAGCATCAGTATCAACAGTTACCTCCCCCTTAGGTACAGCATGATTTATCAACATCTAATGAAAGTTTGGCTTGTATATAATTCACATCTAACGTGGTGTCTGTAAACATTACAGAGGATCTTACATGAGTGTCAATGTAATATGAAATCTATTTAACAAGTTCAATTATTTTAAATAATGGCTTGTGGCATATTAATTTTTTAATACATTTAATAAATGCAAAATTGAATATTCTATTTATCAAATAAACTATATTTCTGAAACAAGAGATCCCAGAGGGATTTTGGTGCCAACATTGGTTTATTTGCTCTTTGAAAGTTGGATCTTTTCCATTTTTCTCTCTTCTCTATTTTTGTTCTAAATGATAAGAATTTTGAATATTCCTTTGCAGAAATAGCAATAATAATCTCTGTCTACCAAATCAGAGATGACTTCCTGGAAGCCAATTTATTTCTCTGATCAGTCCCAAAATCAAACAGGCAGAACTAGGGACCAAGAGGAACCTACACATGAAAGTAAAGAAAGATTTACACAGTTTGACTGAAAAAAGAAAGATAACAAACTTTCAAAGTCAAAATCAAGATGGCCTATTGTTGGCCATTTTGTTTTTCTGATCATAATATTATGAGCACAACTAGGCACCAAAGGGTACATTAATATGAAATTTGAGAGATTCTAAAGAAATACCGATAACAAACATCATAGAAAAAATCTAACATGGCATTCCCAAAATCACACAGGCACAACTTAGAACCAATGGGAATGTACGTCAGAAATTCGAAAAAAATCCATCCAGTACTTCTCAAGAAATAGCCAAAACAAAAATTGTTAACAGACAGACGACAGACAGATGGACCATGGACAAAGGGTGTTTTTTAATAGCCCACCATCTGATGACGGTGAGCTAAATATAAAGGAAAACTCTCACTTGATTTTCTCTGTACATTTTCACTTTTGAGACAATCATGTGATGTAATCAAGACGAGTCTTATTTACTGTAAATAACTTATATCTTGCCTGGGATTATCTACGCATTAATATACCATGAGAGTCAATTGTGAATTCAAGCCCCTTGCAATTCGTTGTACAGAAAAAATTCAGTATGACATTCATGCTGCTTTGCTTACCCATATCAGAGTCCATATATCCAAATGCCCATCATTTGCACATATCAAGTTATTTCTAGACCATAGTTTGTGAAATCATGAATTCTCGAACATGTCTGAAGAGGTAAGTTTACAAATAAGAATATTCAGGAAATTGAAGTGATTTATTTAAACCCATGTCTTACGATTGGTAGGAAATAGCTGTAAGATTATTTGTACCACTGACTTATCTTACATTGCAGCTCATAGACAAGTTGTTGATATACAAAACAGTCCCATGCAATTCCATTCAGGACAATGATTTATATTACTGTGATGTCATCAATTTTTGTGGAGGATTTATATCTGATGATTTCAAGGGTACTCAGAATTAAAAAATTGATATATCAGCAATCTGTTAAATACAATCTTTATTTGACAATGTTTATCTTCGAAATAAAATGTTCATGAAATTAATTGTTTGTAAAACTGAAAAATGAAATCCCCAAAAAACACTCTAAATCAACAAATTCATATATTAACAATCTGTTAAACATAAGTGCCTTTATTTGGCAATAGTTATCTTCAAAATTGAATGTACATGAAACAATTTATTTTGTAAAGCTATAAAAATCAAACCTAACAATAAACATCATGTCTTACAGTGGTGGATATGAAATGTGTCACTTTTGTTTTAAAATAGATACTGATATGAAGCTGTTTTCTTCCAGTATACAATATTGTTTTAAATTCTTGGGGGTCTTCATTCCTCAGAATTTCATCAATGCAAATCTTGAAGGGGTAGAATTATGAGATGTCTTTACTAATTTGATTGGCTTCCTCTAGATGTACTGCTACTGTTCATCATTCTGGCAAGAAACCTTGATTTAAAAACAATACATAAGACATTAAGACATTTGTGTTCTATCCTAAATACAAGATGTACAGCAGGCCACGGTTGCCCAAAGGCTTGTTAGAGATAATCAGTGGTTAGAGATAATTTTAAAACATAAAATGAAGGAAATTGAGAATATTTCTGATCATTTCACATCTGTAGATTGGCTGGGACAGATATATTTTGATCAGTTATTTAGCCTTAAATGCTATGGAAAAAATTAATCTTTTCACTAACCCCTGACACTAAAAGATTTAGTCTATTTCCACTGTTGATATTAACACCTTGTACATACTGAGTGTGGGGGACACTGAAAGATTTAGTCTATTTCCACTGTTGAGAGTAACACCTTGTACATACTGAGTGTGGGGGACACTAAAAGATTTAGTCTATTTCCACTGTTGATATTAACACCTTGTACATACTAAGTGTGAGGGACACTGAAAGATTTAGTCTATTTCCACTGTTGATATTAATACCTTGTACATACTGAGTGTAGGGGACACTTGTAGATTTAGTCTATTTCCAATGTTGATATTAACACCTTGTACATACTGAGTGTAGGGGACACTAAAAGATTTAGTCTATTTCCACTGTTGAAAGTAACACCTTGTACATACTAAGTGTGAGGGACACTAAAAGATTTAGTCTATTTCCACTGTTGAGAGTAACACCTTGTACATACTAAGTGTGGGGGACACTGAAAGATTTAGTCTATATTATACTTTATCTCTCTATAGTTCCTGTTTATACTATATCTCTCTATATTATACTATATCTCTCTATAGTTCCTGTTTATACTATATCTCTCTATAGTTCCGGTTTATACTATATCTCTCTATAGTTCATGTTTATACTATATCTCTCTATACTTCATGTTTATACTATATCTCTCTATAGTTCCTGTTCATACTATATCTCTCTATAGTTCCTGTTTATACTATATCTCTCTATAGTTCATGTTTATACTATATCTCTCTATACTTCCTGTTTATACTATATCTCTCTGTAGTTCCTGTTTATACTATATCTCTCTATAGTTCCTGTTTATACTATATCTCTCTATAGTTCATGTTTATACTATATCTCTCAATAGTTCGTGTCTATACTTTATCTCTCTATACTTCATGTCTATACTTTATCTCTCTATACTTCATGTTTATACTATATCTCTCTATAGTTCCTGTTTATACTATATCTCTCTATAGTTCCTGTTTATACTATATCTCTCTATAGTTCCTGTTTATACTATATCTCTCTATAGTTCCTGTTTATACTATATCTCTCTATAGTTCCTGTTTATACTATATCTCTCTATATTATACTATATCTCTCTATAGTTCCTGTTTATACTATATCTCTCTATATTATACTATATCTCTCTATAGTATCTCTCTGTTTATACTATATCTCTCTATAGTTCCTGTTTATACTATATCTCTCTATAGTTCCGGTTTATACTATATCTCTCTGTTTATACTATATCTCTCTATAGTTCCTGTTTATACTATATCTCTCTATAGTTCCTGTTTATACTATATCTCTCTATAGTTCATGTTTATACTATATCTCTCTATAGTTCGTGTTTATACTATATCTCCCTATTGTTCATGTTTATACTATATCTCTCTATAGTTCCTTTTTATTCTATATCTCTCTATAGTTCCTGTTTATACTATATCTCTCATAGTACATCGTTCATGTTTATACTATATCTCTCTCTATATTATACTATAAATCTCTATAGTTCCTGTTTATACTATATCTCTCTCTGTAGTTCCTGTTTATACTATATCTCTCTATAGTTCCTGTTGATACTATATCTCTCTATAGTTCCTGTTCATACTAAATCTCTCTATAGGTCCTGCTTATTCTATAATGCTCTATACTTCCTGTTTATTCTATATCTCTCTATAGTTCATGTATTATATCTCTCTATAGTTCCTGTATACTATATACTATATCTCTCTATAGTTCCTGTTTATACTATATCTCTATATAGTTCCTGTTTATACTATATCTCTCTATAGTTCCTGTTTATACTATATCTCTCTATAGTTCCTGTTTATACTATATATCTCTCTATAGTTCCTGTTTATACTATATCTCTCTATAGTTCCTGTTTATACTATATCTCTCTATATTATACTATATCTCTCTATAGTTCCTCTCTATAGTTCCTGTTTATATCTCTCTATAGTTCCTGTTTATACTATATCTCTCTATAGTTCCTGTTTATACTATATCTCTCTATAGTTCCTGTTTATACTTATATCTCTCAATAGTTCATGTTTATACTATAACTCTCTATAGTTCCTGTTTATACTATATCTCTCTATAGTTCCTGTTTATACTATATCTCTCTATAGTTCCGGTTTATACTATATCTCTCTATAGTTCATGTTTATACTATATCTCTCTATACTTCATGTTTATACTATATCTCTCTATAGTTCCTGTTTATACTATATCTCTCTATAGTTCCTATTTATACCATATCTCTCTATATTATTCTATATTTCTCTATAGTTCCTGTTTATACTATATCTCTCAATAGTTCATGTTTATACTATAACTCTCTATAGTTCCTGTTTATACTTTATCTCTCTATAGTTCCTGTTTATACTATATCTCTCTATAGTTCCTGTTTATACTTTATCTCTCTATAGTTCCTGTTTATACTTTATCTCTCTATAGTTCCTGTTTATACTATAACTCTCTATAGTTCCTGCTCATTCTATATATGTCAATAGTTCCATTCATTATGTCTTTTGACAATTTATGCACAATTTACATGGGAATATTTCTTCAGATCGGTAATGTCAATAGAATAAAAGTTCTTTTAACACAACCAGTAGGTGAATTATCTACAGTACATTGTTACCATCTTGTGTGTTTTTGGTCTATTATCTGTTGATCATCTCATCACACTATTTTCTACCTTAGTGTATATAGGATTATAGTACAGCCGAAAAAGTTGGTCGATTCCGTACCATCTGGTTCACTGCGCACATCAGTGCTAGTATGCTTCATGCTGGTCATTTGTCTGATGAAGGTGACCGTGTAGTCACGGAAACGTCACACTGTAATCGTCTGCTGGTTGTGTTATAAGAACTTCTATTCTATTACATCGGAAAACTTTAAGAATACTCTGATAAAAATTCTTTTAAAGAAATCTGAAATTTCCTGTAAATAATTTCCTTTCACTGTTGATTACCAGCACAACAGACACTAAAACAACATTTATTTGTAAATTTTGAAATCTTCAGTACATTAGCAAGACATGGTTAGAACAGTTAAACGAACATTTCTAAACGTTATCCCAGTTTTCTCCTAGACAAGAGGGATGACAGATATTGCATTGGGCCATTTTTCGAACTTTTTAACACTTCATTCCATGTGTGTACAAGACAAGAGGGCATTCTGTGCCATATTAGCCAATATGAAGTATATCATCAATTGATTCTGTAACAGCTTTCAGACTACAGACCTTACTACAAAGAAATATACTTACTTTTATGCTCTAACATATTTTCTTTGTTAATCAGTTTTTTCCTGGTTTTCTGCTTCAGAAACCCAAGCCATATACGTATTCCATCCAAGAGCAACAAAGTTCACCACCAACACTCTGCAGATCAGAAAAATATTGCTGTTTTTATCAAGCATGATGACTATGGCTGCTAGTAAGCTCTAAACCTCATATCTGCTCCTTAATTTGTGTATATTTGGCCTGTAATAAATCCATTTCATTGCTTATATGTTATAACCCTGGGCAGGATTAAGGCAAAACACTGTATTTAAGCACCTACCACCTTATCTTTTAGGTTTTCATCAAATCAAAGAAAACCTCAAGCAATCATAAAATGAACAAAATTTCTATATACAACAGTGTCAATGTTGGTTCAAAAATCAGAACACTGAACTGTCATACCAGCCTTTCTCTTTAAAGAATTTCACGTCTGTGAGATGTCTATCATAATTATAAATACAATACAGCTAAGAAGATTCACAACCAATGTTATATAGATACCTAAGGGACAAGTTCAATGTAGATTTGTGATTGGATCTAAAGTTGAATTTAAGTTGAAATGTAAAAAAAAAAAAAAAAAATGATATGAATTTAAACAAGAGGCCCATGGGCCTTAATGGTCATCTGACATAAAATACAAGATTTCAAATTTTGAACTTGAGAAGAAGTTAAAAATGTGTTTCCAAGATGGCGGCCATGTTGATTTTCAGACCAACCTGAAATTAACAATTTTGGTCAGGATCATGTCATGATCATTTCAGGTAAGTTTCAGCTCAATGAGACATGTAGAACTTGAGAAGAAGTTGAAAATGTTTACGACTGACGTATGACGGACGCTGGACACCGCCGGACAAAAGGCGACAGACCCTTCGGTCAGATGACCTTAAAGGTTATGCATTACTCATACTGAAATCAAAATCATGTTAATTAATTCATTAAAGTTTTGGATGGAGAAAACAAAGGCAATTTGTGTGAAAAATATCTTTTTTTGTAAGAAAATAGGTAAAAATAATTTTGCATGGAAAAGTTACTGGTAGTATATGTTATAATGAATGGCTTTATTGTTATCATCAGTGATGGAATATAAAGGATTTTACCATATAAAAACCAATTAGGAAAGAATTTTGAACAGAAAAGTTCGTAAAAAGGCCCTCTGAGATTGTATCATAAATATAGTTGTGTTTTTGTAATTACTAATCAGCAGTATTTCTTACTTATTTGTTTCTAGTTTGCTATGAATTTAAAGACGCTATTTGCACAAACTACATTTTGTATCCAGCTTTTACGCTAAAATGGCTTAACAACATATGGAAACATTTTACTTGTTTAATATGAATGGGAAACATAACACGTAGAGGAGTGGAACACAACACTGAAAACTGAGATCTAGAATCTGTGGGAAAAAACATTGATACATTTAGGTTGCCTTCTTAAAAAAGGACTCTTTCAGCGTATTTCAAAATAAAACAATGCTTTTAAGATGCTGGTGAATAAATCGTGGATATACACTCTTTTTAAAAATTTTAATAAAGTTTCACACTTTCATTTTCACTAAAAGATTTTTATTCTTTTATTGTTTTTTTTTCAATCAGTTTATGTTTGTCAATTTTGAGGTGACAAAGTGACAAGTCAACAAAAAGTCATTTTTGATATTACTAAGTACAACATTTAAGGTATTGTTTCTAAAAACACCAACCTACTCAGCATTTAAGACTGCAATTACGGTAGTACAAGTGAAATCTAATACCTGTAGCATACAGGTGAGATGTACATTTAGGTTAATTACACAAAAAACACTTACCTGTGTTGTAGAGGCACAAGGTAAAAATTCACTAGTTGTACAGCTGGCCATATCTGTAATAACAGCAAAGAAATCGGTATATATATATATCATCAGAGTTTGGGGGTGGCTCAATTACCCTGACTCATTATACTCTGTGGTTGGGCTTATCACAGGACAATAAACCCAGATCATCAGCACAATTACTCTGACTCATCACAGCATGGGGGTGGGCTTATCACAGGACAATAAACCCAGATCATCAGCACAATTACTCTGACTCATCACAGCATGGGGGTGGGCTTATTACAAGACAATAAACCCAGAGGGCTCAAAATATTACATGTTACTCTGAGTCTGAGTGTGAGCTGTTACAGGACAATAACATATAATTAACTGATAATTCTACTGGGCAGAAATATAGTTTTTTGTAAGTCACACAATTTCACTTATTTGATAATAAAATCATAACTAAGGCAAACCATTGTTCTCATTTCTGTTGTTTTCTTACCAGGTTCACCTCTTTCTCCTCTTTAAAAGACTTTGTCCTCTTAATAACTAAATTTATAAAAGTTATGTAGAGAATGCTTTCTTTACAGTTAGTAACCAGGACTGAACTTACAGGAGACATACCTTCCAGTTAGTAACCAGGACTGAACTTACAGGAGACATACCTTCCAGTTAGTAACCAGGACTGAACTTACAGGAGACATACCTTCCAGTTAGTAACCAGGACTGAACTTACAGGAGACATACCTTCCAGTTAGTAACAAGGACTGACCTTAAAGAATACATACCTTCCAGTTAGTAACCAGGACTGAACTTACAGGAGACATACCTTCCAGTTAGTAACAAGGACTGACCTTAAAGAATACATACCTTCCAGTTAGTAACCAGGACTGAACTTACAGGAGACATACCTTCCAGTTAGTAACCAGGACTGACCTTAAAGAATACATACCTTCCAGTTAGTAACCAGGACTGAACTTACAGGAGACATACCTTCCAGTTAGTAACCAGGACTGAACTTACAGGAGACATACCTTCCAGTTAGTAACAAGGACTGACCTTAAAGAATACATACCTTCCAGTTAGTAACCAGGACTGAACTTACAGGAGACATACCTTCCAGTTAGTAACCAGGACTGAACTTACAGGAGACATACCTTCCAGTTAGTAACCAGGACTGAACTTACAGGAGACATACCTTCCAGTTAGTAACAAGGACTGACCTTAAAGAATACATACCTTCCAGTTAGTAACCAGGACTGAACTTACAGGAGATATACCTTCCAGTTAGTAACAAGGACTGACCTTAAAGAATACACACCTTCCAGTTAGTAACCAGGACTGAACTTACAGGAGACATACCTTCCAGTTAGTAACCAGGACTGAACTTACAGGAGACATACCTTCCAGTTAGTAACAAGGACTGACCTTAAAGAATACATACCTTCCAGTTAGTAACCAGGACTGAACTTACAGGAGACATACCTTCCAGTTAGTAACAAGGACTGACCTTAAAGAATACATACCTTCCAGTTAGTAACCAGGACTGAACTTACAGGAGACATACCTTCCAGTTAATAACCAGGACTGACCTTAAAGAATACATACCTTCCAGTTAGTAACCAGGACTGAACTTACAGGAGACATACCTTCCAGTTAGTAACCAGGACTGACCTTAAAGAATACATACCTTCCAGTTAGTAACCAGGACTGAACTTACAGGAGACATACCTTCCAGTTAGTAACCAGGACTGAACTTACAGGAGACATACCTTCCAGTTAGTAACAAGGACTGACCTTAAAGAATACATACCTTCCAGTTAGTAACCAGGACTGAACTTACAGGAGACATACCTTCCGGTTAGTAACAAGGACTGACCTTAAAGAATACATACCTTCCAGTTAGTAACCAGGACTGACCTTAAAGAATACATACCTTCCAGTTAGTAACCAGGACTGAACTTACAGGAGACATACCTTCCAGTTAGTAACCAGGACTGAACTTAAAGGGGACATACCTTCCAGTTAGTAACCAGGACTGACCTTAAAGAATACATACCTTCCAGTTAGTAACCAGGACTGACCTTAAAGAATACATACCTTCCAGTTAGTAACCAGGACTGAACTTACAGGAGACATACCTTCCAGTTAGTAACCAGGACTGACCTTAAAGAATACATACCTTCCAGTTAGTAACCAGGACTGAACTTACAGGAGACATACCTTTCAGTTAGTAACCAGGACTGACCTTAAAGAATACATACCTTCCAGTTAGTAACCAGGACTGAACTTACAGGAGACATACCTTACAGTTAGTAACCAGGACTGACCTTAAAGAATACATACCTTCCAGTTAGTAACCAGGACTGACCTTAAAGAATACATACCTTTCAGTTAGTAACCAGGACTGAACTTACAGGAGACATACCTTCCAGTTAGTAACAAGGACTGACCTTAAAGAATACATACCTTCCAGTTAGTAACCAGGACTGAACTTACAGGAGACATACCTTTCAGTTAGTAACCAGGACTGACCTTAAAGAATACATACCTTCCAGTTAGTAACCAGGACTGAACTTACAGGAGACATACCTTCCAGTTAGTAACCAGGACTGACCTTAAAGAATACATACCTTCCAGTTAGTAACCAGGACTGAACTTACAGGAGACATACCTTCCAGTTAGTAACCAGGACTGACCTTAAAGAATTACATACCTTCCAGTTAGTTACTAGAACTGGCCATATATCCTGCAGAAAAGAAACATTATATTGGTTAAGTATGGAAGACATTAAAGGTGTAATGTTTAGATGTAGTCTGTATACAGTTCTGATTCAGATTATTGAATAAACAAATTTGCCTCCATAAATAAAAAGGTTTCACCTTAAAATATTTCACTGAAAAACAAATTGCATTTGGTAACTTCAATTTTGAAAATTTGATGAAATTTGTCATTCTAAATTCATTATTTTATAAAAAGATCAAAGATTTAATCTTTCGATTTATTTAACAACAGTTCTGGAGTATTTAGGTTTAGTCTCTCCTCCCCAGAAAGAATACCGGTACATGTACAAAGTAAAACGAATGGGGAGTAAAAAGAATTTGAACTAGAAAATGTCTAAAGACAAGAATGTCCCTTTTTCTACAAAAATCTATCAAGCACAAATTTGTTAGTTCATTCTGCTGTGTTAATTGCCCTGTGGAGATCCAAGATCAATTCGAGGGAGGGTCTCCCTGTACTGCTAGTGGTGGCCTTACTGAACAACACATGGTACCCTCTTTGCATGCTATCCACAGCAATCACGGGTATGTACCTTGTCCTTGGACAAAAACCATGACAGTACACATTTCATTTTTCAGCTTTCTGAGATACACAGAATGTTGAACCACACTTTTTCACCTGAGGTTGCCTCGGCTAATACCAGACTATTGACTGAGTTATAGATGTATAGAACTTGACATTATAATTTTATGGGGTAGATGTGAATAAAATCTGTCTAGAGGTTCTCAAGACAGGAAGGGATGGATCGATGGTCATAGCTAACGTAATATGCCAATCCCCCCACCACCCGAATCCCCGGTAAAATCTTACAGGCTGATTCCTGTATATAGCAAATTTTTCAATCTTATCAATGAAATTTCAGAAGAATCTATATATCAACCCAAATTTACATTTAAATAAATGTGAGATCATAGACTATGTTTAAGTGAACACAAAAATTTTGTTGTAAATAGACGACTCGGAGACAATATCAATATACAAATGTACAACATATCAGTTGTTTGTTGGAGTACCAGAATGAGAAAATGAGATCAGAATCTGTATGGTCGTTTTTTTTGTGGGCCTGATATATCATCAAATTTCACATTTGCCTATGAATTGGTGTCGATGTATCAGGCATAACAGACATTTTTTGAGATCTTGATTCACCATAGAAATGGTTGCAGGGTATTTCTAACTATAAGTACTCCAAGTCTAATCTAAAATTATGAGAATCAAAAACATAGAACATGTTTCTTACACACATAAAACCCTGGCATGTGTAAAATTTTCAGGTTACCTTATTACAAGTTTTAGCTTCCTTTTACTCTAGTGGTAGGGTGTCGGTCGAAAGTGCAAAAAATTTGGTAGTTCACACCAAGCTGAAGGCTGTCTTTTTATCATTAAAACATTACTCATTTGAGTATAAATGTTTTAAAACATACAAATGTATATATACCTTCAAAAGCTTACATTTGAAATCTTCTCTTTGATTTGCTGAGCGGAGTCTCCTCGCAAAGCTCCCATTGTTCCGAGAAAAAATGATAAAAATGAAGGTGCCCACAAAAGCTGAAACACAGATAAATGTTAAAGTGAGATTAATTGTTCTTGTGTTCTCAGTGACATCAAATATCCTTAAACAAGAGGCCAATGGGCCTTAACGGTCATCTGACAATAATGACCTATATATGGAGGAGGCCAAATAGGCCTAAGATAAATTACTCTACAGCTTACAAAGAAAACATTGTTGGTTCCTTAAATCATTATCTGCAAATTTGAAATCATATTCTTTTTACATGTAACATACTTCACAAATGCCATTACTCCAAACCTATTGCTTGTTGAAAAAGAAATTTCAAGACCTCAACTCACTTAACCCAAGAGATCTTGAATACATGTCAAGGTCAATTATTTGAACAAATCAGTTGCCCTTCATTCACTTATATTAAAAAACCAACACCAACAGCCTGAACCTTTTACCTATTGAGAAGAAATTTTATTTGACTCTTGTGACCTTTATAAAGAGAAAATGCCAGTCGCATGAAGGAATTGGTAACCCTTCATCCTATTGAGAAGAAGTTGTTTAAGATTTTGACATATTTGACACCTGTGACTTTAAAAGAGGTTCAGGGTCAATCATTTGAACAAACTTGGTAACACTTCATCCTATCCTGCTACAGATCAAATGTCAGCACTGTGGACCTTTTGGTAATTCGGGAAAAGTTGTTTACAAATTTCAACACATTTGACTCTTGTGACCTTGAAAGTGGGTCAAGGTCATTCTTATATATAAAGTTGGTAGCCCTCCATCTCAGCAGCATACAGGCCTAATATCAGCACTCTGGACCTTTTGGTTATTGAGAAGAAGTTGTTTAAAGACTTCAACATATTTGACCCTTGTGACCTTGAAAGTGGGCAGAGGTCATTCAGTTTAATCATTTTGGTAGTCCATCATATCAGCATACTACACACCCAATATCATCACTTTGATCCTATTTGTAATTGAGAAGATTACATTAGAATAGAAAGTTTACAAATGGCAAAATGTATTATCCCTACAAATACTCGTTACAAGATTTGACCGAACATTGTATCAGTATAACAACAGTATTTCTATCCATTAGACCATACAATTACTTTAAAAACAATTAAATAATTTAATTCAGTGGGTAGAAAGACCTGTTACCTTAAAGCAAACAAGGACTGAGTCTGTATTGCTGATAATTTCTCTTGGCATTACAAGTTCAATGGAACTGAAGTGAATGTAATTGTTGGGACACAGAAATGTTCCCACAGCAGTAAGAGTAGACCAACAACTTGGGTAATAAGTGGAAAATACATCTACATAACAAAGTTTTCCACATCTCTCTCTCTTTTCATAATTATATATGAAATATATGTATATATTATACTGTTAAATTGATGTATATTATGGCCTTAATAATAGGAAGAATTTGTCAGGAGAATCTATTCAAACAACTTTCAAAGTTAATCGAGGGCAATTCATGCAGATTCTTGGTTCAATATTCATTCAAGCAAAAGACATGATGACCTTTGACCTTTCAGTCAGTATGCAGAAGAGACACACATCAGTGGTGTTGGATATTTTGTAACACCTTTTTTCAACTGATTAAAGTGTAGTTTCCTATCAATACATATTCTTATCCAATCTCTCCCAGAGTTGTCTTTCCTTAACAGTCACAATGTGGGGTATCACACTATCCTTCCTCATTTACCCACAAGTCCTTACCTGATCACAAGCCAACATCTTAAGAGGTCCTAACTTTGTACCCTTAAAGGCTTTGTCCAGTCCCAGATACCACATTCTGAACATTGGGCCCTGTACAAAACACCACAAATAACAAGCAAATTATGACGTGGATCGATATCGATGAAATCTTCCATTATCTGATGGTGTAACAGATATTATAAATTGTAAGGTCAAGTCATCAATCTTTTGTTTAACTATGAATTGACACACAAAAAATAATTTCATTACCATTACATACAATTAAGAATTTTCCTATGTGCATATTCATACAATTGTCATCCTTCAAACCTCGAAAAAAAAAAAAAAAATGATAGCTGAAATCTCCTGATAGGGTTTTCGGGGTCTACCTGGTAGTGTAATCTTTGCTTGCTATATATGTTAAAAGATTGAAAATTTCTTTCCTTTACTTTTAATTATCTGAACCAGTGACATATGAATAAGGATAACAACAGTTATTGAAATGACAACATGGTCCAAAATCGATATTGCTGGGTTTGAAATTTTCCTCCCACAGTGCACATGTTATTCCTGCTATTGAACAATATGATAACATATAAAAACAACTGACATCAAAGACAAGTTACCGAGTGACAAATCATGCTTGGCCAACATAGCTATTCACAGCACATTTTGAGCTGATTCTTCCAAAAAAAAGATCAAAATGTGAAATAGTTTGAGAATGCACAACAACACAGCAGGGGATAATTCTGTCAACAAGGGTAGTACTGTAATGCAATTTTCTTTAAGGGCACATCTACAGAACTATGGTACTTCACACAAAATTGTCTTCATGTTTCACATAAAGTGGCAAACCTCTCAAAAAATAAATGGTTATAATGCAAAATCACTTGAGGGACATAATTCCACATGGTACTGGCACTTCACACAGAATGCAAAACATTTAAGAATGAATGAATATATGTAGTTTTATTTTCCACATACAGGAGCATAATGTTCCCTTAAAAAGGATTGAAATACAAGATTATATAAGGGCGCACAGATTTATATAGAAGTGATGGTACTTTACATGGCAATTTGAAGAGATTCCATTGAAAGCTAAATGAATACATTACTAGATAAATTTTGTCTAATTTTTTTCATAAAGAGGCAAAACTTTGTCAAAATGGATAGAAATGCAAAATCATTTCCATCAGAAAATAAGTAAATATAAAGCAAATAGTAACTTGCAGTTACTATTTCAAATCTTAACTCTAGAAAAAAAATCCAAAGGGATAATGCTGCATATGAGTGATATGACAACGCTCTCTTTGGGTTTGTTCTTTCATACTTGACAGCAGTTATACAGCAATGGAATGAAATTTCAAAAACACTGAAGGTGAATCAAAGTAAGGAATCCTTCAGAGAGTAAAAGTGAAGCACTTGTCAATGAAATTGCAAACGAGTAATTTTCAAGAAATTTTCATTCTGAGTCTAGTGTTAATTAGGTGCTATAGGGTCTCTTTAAACAGAATATCTTGTTATTTGGCTATATTTCAAGCTATGTGAGTTGAACTTATGTCTCTTTCTACCATTCCGAAGTTTTTGTAGCTCATTACAAGTAGTCTGTTTTTGACATTTTACTATCTTTTTTATCCTTATTGCAAGGAATGTTGAGACTTGTGTAATGTTTTCCCTGTTTCTTTTTCACAGACAAAAAAATTAGGACTTTCATTGAAAATCATTTGTATAATATATTATTTCACAATAAGATATACAACATCATATTGTGTTAAAAATCCTTGTCTGAATGGCAACAACTATCAAGAAAACTACATGAACAGGAGTTGTAATTAAAGGTAGCTCATAAACTGAACTCACAATAGCTTTGTGACAATTGTGGAAGCCACAAGTTAATCTTTTACAATAACAGCACACAAGGCTTCAAAACCAAAAGAACCAAGATCAATGAAATTATGTTTTACACCTATGGCATATGTGAGTTACCAGTTGATCCAATTAGTATTGATCAAATTCCTATTTCTGTTGAAATTCTAAATCTTTCTAGCAAAGAAAGACAATATAAAAGATTGTACACATTTGTTCTTTCTTATAATATTGTGTAAAAGTGAAATATAATCAATATGGGTGTCAATATTTTTTCCTCATTCTTTAGTAACAACACTTGTTTGCATTGAGCACAATAATGTTACAACATTACATAGGAGATATGGAATTAACTGTCATCCAATTTTGTTAGCTTCTGGTATTAACAAAATCAGAGAACATATGAATAACTGGATAGTTATGTGGTAAATTTACCTACTCCTATAAAAAGACCAAATCCAAGGAAGCGCCCTGTTCTTAGGAAGTCGTACGGCTCTTGTTTTTTCTCCACAGCTATTTGCGCAATGCTATCGCCAGCAGCCATCAGCGTACCTGATTCAACACAAACATTGGTGAAAGATATTAAATCGTACCTGGCATTCACCCACAATAACAGGCCTACACAGTGTGTTTACGAATTTATTTGTCTCCCACCAGAGAAACTTGGAAAGTAGAGGAAATATGTTTTTTCTCTCCATTTCTTCATTTGTCCCTATATCTGTGAAAGATTTTCCAGCACTCTAGCTGCTTCTATTCTTGAGGAATTCCCATTAAACATCACACAATATTTTAGCATTTCAGGGGTCAATATAGGGGACATGTATAGCTTCAGCAATACTCAGTATATTTGTTTAACAGATTCTTGTCCTGTTGTGGTATTAGTTTCAGCCTGTCAGGAAATGACATGGAGCCTTTATTGCTAATCTGTAATTATACAATCAGAGTCAAAGTATGCATATCATCATTAGACGTTATGCTTTTTGAGTCAGCAGCTATGGAGGACAGATAAAGAGAAAGCACTGAGGTTCAGATTTGGGGCACCCTCCATTCTCCATTTCTGCTCCAGATGAAATTTTGTGATAATTAATTGCATATATTATCTCAAGACGTTGACCCGGAATACATAATTTGGAGAATCCTGGATAGATGGATGGGGGCAACATGTTAACATGGTGCAATCATCAATGTAGGCCATTCAATAGATCATAAAATAAGTGACCATAATAAAATGACGGATTCCACATTGAGATTAAATTCGATATGAATTGTAATCTAGATTTGACAGTATTACATATATAATAAATATTCTTGTATCTTTTATGTAATGGTTTGAAGTCTTTATAAAAACATAGATAGAAAGTCAGAATAATTAGGACTAAACCCAAGTATATTACTGTCAGTATATGTATGCTATACCACATACATCTGGAATGTAAATAACTACACGTTCATTTATGTTTTATGTATGAACGTCGGACTGTTTTTTTTTTTTTTTTTTTTGCTCGAATTGTTTACATTCCAGATAGAGATATGTCACTACATAAACAAAATTCGTGCCAATGTCACTGGAATGTTATTAATGTTGGAATCCCAATAAAGTACATTTTAAGAGTACTATATAGGGTATGTACTAAGACCAATATCCAGATAATGCATATATGGGCACCAGGGCATTCAACATCACGAATGTAAACAAACTTGACAACTGAAACATCTAGTCAACAAACCTGTTGTTACTGACATAGTTGCCATTGGAAATTTTTCCAAAACCCGAAGGTAAAATCTTAAAGCCATTTTTTCACGCTGCCAATGGCAATGTTCCCAGCTTTTTCACAACATCAACAAGTCTTAAAGCTACTGACACTGGGCCGATGATTTACTGATAAAACCACGTGGTCTCGATCGTGGTTATTTCAACGCTTATTCTAAAGTTATTGCCCTTCTAGAGCAAGTAAATAAGCGTACGCCGTACCTGGCCCCGACTCCGAATCCGTACCAGTACTATAAGACATTATCAATATCTCGTGAAAAATGTAATAAATCTTGAATTTTCTAATTAAATCAGCTTATGATAAAAGTCGAACATCTTAAATGAATGGATTCCTTTTCCTAGGTTTTTTTTAGATAGGCTAATTGCTTTTTTTCAGGGGATGAAACATTGTAATCCGGACTCAACAGTGAAATTTTCCGACTTTTGGCATATATTGCAGGTAATTTACAGTTTGGGTTCGTTTTTTTAAAATTCCAATCTTAATATCGAATCTTACATTTATTATGACCGTGATGAGGATAGTAGGTCGTTTGTTTACTTTCGATCCTTGGACCCGGTACCCGTTCGGAACACCTCTCCTCGATTACAGTACATTCCATCAAAATAGAAGTATACGATAACACACAATAACTTATATAATTCAAAACAATGAACGCAACAACATTAGCTGAAACGCATACTTAGTTTGATACAATTTTTTGCAATGTCAAAAATATTTCATCGTTTTTTCTGCTTTGAGTAAGCACCATTTCCCCATAGAAGTGACATTTTGCTATAAATTTGAATAACGTATTTTGTCTGATTGCAGTATATTTGTAACAAAATAGAAAGAAAATGGTGGGTATTCATCAACTAATCCGCAGGTGAATAATGAAATGAATTCATTCACAGCAACAGGTAAAGAACATTTAAGTAAATTTATTGACAAAATTCAAGATTTATTAGATTTTTTAATCCCGAGATGTTGATAATTTCATATAGTCTTGGTATGGCTTCAGGGCCGGGCGGACCGGATACGGCGTACACTGGTACGGGTTTCGGGGCCGGGGTGAGCTGGGGCCGGAGCCGGATACGGCGTACACATTTCACTACCACCCTTCTATCAGGTAAGCAATATTTACATGCCGTGCCGTAGTAGCAACAACTGTAATACGTCCCATATTTATCACATAATTGCCCATATTGCTGATTTATTACAAGATGAAATTTTGAAACAAATTATTTAACCAATACTTCCTCTCATCAGAAACAGACTTGTGGGTTACGAATTCGAATTTGGTTTTCTCGTGTCGATGACCTAAGCATGGTATATGTGTATATAGAAGGAGTGGCAGGGGCACGGCCGTTTAAGGACTAAACTGAATTGAACTCTCGCATTTTATGTCACAGTTAAATTTTTTGATGATTCACAGATTTTCACTCAAAATTATATGTAAATTGAGTATGATCGCCTGATCAATGAGATAATGCGAAATATGGGCAAACTGAAAGTAGATCTAAGACAAATTCTCGATAGCTGACTCACTACATGTCACACATGTACCGATTTCAAATAATGGACACGAGTGTTCTTTTCATGTAAATGGTGTTAAGCTCTGATAATTTATCAAAGAAAGGACTTTTGTATCTCCAAAGTTCCACCAAGGTTCGAACGTTAGTCATGTACATGTATATGTCTGGATCAAATAGACATTGTTGATGTCTATTTCTGGATCAAGTAGACACTGTTGATGTCTGTTTCTGGATCAAAACTAGACACTGTTAATGTCTGTTTATGGATCAGATAGACACTGTTGATGTCTGTTTCTGGATTAGATAGACACTGTTGCTGTCTGTTTCTGGATCAAAACTAGACACTGTTGATGTCTGTTTCTGGATCAAAACTAGACACTGTTGATGTCTGTTTCTGGATCAGATAGACACTGTTGATGTCTGTTTCTGGATCAAAACTAGACACTGTTGCTGTCTGTTTCTGGATCAAAACTAGACACTGTTGATGTCTGTTTCTGGATCAAAGCTAGACACGATCGAATAGACACTGTCGGTGTCTATTTCTGGATCAAATAGACACTGTTGATGTCTGTTTCTGGATCAAATGGACACTGTCGGTGTCTATTTCTGGATCAAATAGACAATGTAGGTGTCTCTTTCTGGATCAAAGCTAGACACTGTTAATGTCTGTTTCTGGATCAAAACTAGACACTGTTGATGTCTGTTTCTGGATCAAATGGACACTGTCGGTGTCTATTTCTGGATCAAATAGACAATGTAGGTGTCTCTTTCTGGATCAAAGCTAGACACTGTTGATGTCTGTTTCTGGATCATGATAATGTTTTTTTCTACATCAAAGAGAAATTGTTCATGTTTCTTCTCTGTTTCTAAATAAAAAAGTGATACTGTTTTCATGAATGTGATAGATCACAGAGACAGATTTGGATCTCTATGTTTCATCACTGAATCAATATAAATACTGTTTAAGGCCAGAACAACATTGTACATAGTCGTCATACGTCAATGTTCATCGATACTGTAAGGAACGATAACTCTAGCTGATAGAGATTGTATTGATAATGTTGTTATTTTCGAGGATGGAATAAAAAATCCGGACAATATATACATTTTACGATTACAATTTCAGAGAAATTGATAGTTCGTTTCATAATGTCTATGTAAATTACTTGCTGTCCTATAAGACCGCAAAATCTCCACACTTCCTAGATTGATAGTATGTGACAAGCTTCATGCTATTGCATACAGATTGTTTTCTGTTATCGTCGTAGAAATAATAAAAGAAAGACCTTTCATTTTAAAATGTTCCGTGTTTTACAAAGTCAACGTTTGCGGGGAGTTTCACAAGGTCGAAAGTCGGTATAGAGGATGTCTACAGTAGATATGCTGATGTATAGTTTGATGTGATGACGAGACCATTGGTGCCCTTTATTGTCGCATCTAATTATTTCATCGGTGTATTTTAGACACCAAAGGAGCCATTCAGTAATTCAGCTATGCACATGCGCGTGTTTGCCATTCTGGCGACATGTAGATCAACAATGTAGACAGCTCTGTTACATCATCGACTGTACACACGTATACACACGTACTTCCACTCTCAAAGCTCTTTAAAATAGTCCAGACTAGTCAACCTTTGCCAGTAACAATAGGACATGCATAATAACGAACCGGGCAGAGTGTGGACTTACGTAACCTCTAGCAGTGGCTTAGGGGAAATAGGGTGGGGTATTGCCCCTCACGTTTTTGAGTAGGGGGGGGGCAAACATTCTATCAAACTATATTTAAATGTGCTACATAAATTTATTCATTTGTGCGTCTTTTGTACAATCTTTCATTACATTTAGGCGTACACATTAGTGTCAAATGATGATGAATTAAACTGCATTTACTCATCAATATAACATACAACAGTATATTATTTTCTCTCGTCATATTTTATGTTCCATAAATGTCGACGTATGACTCACAAGCCGTGGATAGTAATCACAAAAAGAGACAGCTGGGGTAATGCTACCAAGGACAAGTCATTTTATGGGACACTTTGTATGCTTATAGCAGATTTTATGGTCTTGTATATGATTTGTCGACGAGGATAGATTGTATACTTTATAAACAACTCACACATAGGATCAAAAATGAGATAACGGTAAGGCCTTGATGGGATTCCGTTATTTCGTTTCTAATAATTCTATAAATAGATTTCGCGGTATTAGACAATATTTAACGGTTTAACTTCACCTTAACAACATAAGGTTGAGGTATGTTGTTCCCTTTATCTATTCACTGATTATCATTCTGTCACAAGATTAGCTACAACCACTGCCATTCAAATCAGAGTTCATAGTGAGATAATGTGTTTTTTTTTATTTAAACTTGAAAAAAAAACGTCAATTGATATTACTGTTATAGTAGATTGAGTCCAGTACAGTGAACCCGCGACGGAAATGCAGAGGAACGGATTTTTAAAACGTTAATTGTTTCCGTGCGGACATTCGAATTGTGGTTCCGGAAATACTTTTTTGGAACGGAACAGACTTATCATAGAAATATTCCCGGAATAGACGGAGTCGATTTTTCCATGCCAATAAGGAAAAGTATTAAGTACATTTATGCTTATTTGGACAACATGCTCATTTCATAGTATGTAATATTATTTTATCTTAACTAATCCAAATCTTTACTGTTGTGATGAAAATCTACTTTCAGATCATTTTTTTTTCAATTTTTAGCCAATATACTGCCATCATGGATGTTTGGCTGTTATAGTGTGTTATTTTTAGATGATTTTAACGTTTTGTTACTGGTGTTAATCATGACAACACCAACTTCTCTGATACAGAAAAAATAATAAATTGTATATAATGAAATAAGATAATTGACAAAACTTCTCAACTTGTGGTTCCACACTTCATTCCGCAAAAACACACTTCCCCTACTCCACATTTATCAAATTCCTATTAAAAGCATCTTCTCTACTCCACACTAAAATCCCCGCTAAACACCACTTCTTACTCCAAACTAAACACCCCTTCTTACTCCACACTAAACACCTCTTCTTACTCCACACTAAACACCTCTTCTTACTCCACACTAAACACTTCTTCTTACTCCACACTAAACACCTCTTCTTACTCCACACTAAACACCTCTTCTTACTCCACACTAAACACCCCTTCTTACTCCACACTAAACACCTCTTCTTACTCCACACTAAACACCCCTTCTTACTCTACACTAAACACCTCTTCTTACTCCACACTAAACACCTTTTCTTACTCCACACTAAACACCTTCCCTACTTCACACTAAACACCTCTTCTTACTCCACACTAAACACCTCTTCTTACTCTACACTCAACACCTTCCCTACTCCACACTAAACACCTCTTCTTACTCCACACTAAACACCTCTTCTTACTCCACACTAAACACCCCTTCTTACTCCACACTAAACACCTCTTCTTACTCCACACTAAACACCTCTTCTTACTCCACACTAAACACCTCTTCTTACTCCACACTAAACACCTCTTCTTACTCCACACTAAACACCTCTTCTTACTCCACACTAAACACCTCTTCTTACTCCACACTAAACACCTCTTCTTACTCCCCACTAAACACCCCTTCTTACATCCACACTTAACACTTCTTCTTACTCCACACAAAACACCTATTCTTACTCCACACTGAACACATCTTCTTCATCCACAATAAACACCTCTTCTTACTCCACACTAAACACCTCTTCTTACTCCACACTCAACACCTTCCCTACTCCCCACTAAACACCTCTGCTTACTCGACACTCAACAGCTTCCCTACTCCCCACTAAACACCTCTTTTAACTCCACACTAAACACCTCTTCTTACTCCACACTAAACACCTCTTCTTACTCCACACTAAACACCTCTTCTTACTCCACACTCAACACCTTCCCTACTCCCCACTAAACACCTCTTCTTACTCCACACTAAACACCATTTTCTTACTCCACACTTAACACCTCTTCGTACTCCATATTAAACACCTCTTCTTACTCCAGAATAAACACCTTTTCTTACTCCAAACTAAACACCTCTTCTTACTCCACACTAAACACCTCTTCTTACTCCACACTAAACACCTCTACTTACTCCACTCTAAACACCTCTTCTCTCCACACTAAACACCTCTTACTCCACATTAAACACTTCTTCTTACTCCACACTCAACACCTTCCCTACTCCCCACTAAACACCTCTTTTAACTCCACACTTAACACCTCTTCTTACTCCACACTAAACACCTCTTCTTACTCCACACTAAACACCTCTTCTTACTCCACACTAAACACCTCTTCTTACTCCACACTAAACACCTCTTCTTACTCCACACTAAACACCTCTTCTTACTCAACATTAAACACCTCTTCTTACTCCAGAATAAACACATTTTCTTACTGCAAACTAAACACCTCTTCTTACTCCACACTAAACACCTCTTCTTAATCCACACTAAGCACCTCTTCTTACTCCACATTAAACACCTCTTCTTACTCCACACTAAACACCTCTTCTTACTCCACACTCAACACCTTCCCTACTCCCCACTAAACACCTCTTCTTAATGCACACTAAACACCTTCCCTACTCCACACTAAACACTTCACTACTCCCCACTAAACACAACTTCTTACTCCAAACTAAACACCCCTTCGTACTCCACACTAAACACCTTCCCTACTCCCCAATAAACACCTCTTCTTACTAGACACTCAACACCTTCCCTACTCCCCACTAAACACCTCTTTTAACTCCACACTTAACACCTCTTCTTACTCCAAACTAAACACCCATTCTTACTCCACACTAAACACCTCTTCTTACTCCACACTCAACACCTCCCTACTCCCCACTAAACACATCTTTTAACTCCTCACATAACACCTCTTCCTACTCCACACTAAACACCTCTTCTTATTCCACACTAAACACCTCTTCTTACACTAAACACCTCTTCTTACTCCAAACTAAACACCTCTTCTTACTCCAAACTTAACACCTCTTCTTATTCCACATTAAACACCTCTTCTTACTCCACACAAAGCATCTATTCTTACTCCACACAAAACACCTATTCTTCCTCCACACTAAACACATCTTCTTCATCCACATTAAACACCTCTTCTTACTCCACATTAAACACCTCTTCTTAATCCACACTAAACACCTCTTCTTACTCCACACTAAACACCTCTTCTTACTCCACACTAAACACCTCTTCTTACTCCACACTAAACACCTCTTCTTACTCCACATTAAACACCTCTTCTTACTCCAGAATAAACACCTCTTCTTACTCCAAACTAAACACCTCTTCTTACTCCACACTAAACACCTCTTCTTACTCCACACTCAACACCTCTTCTTACTCCACACTAAACACCTCTTCTTACTCCACACTAAACACCTCTTCTTAATCCACACTAAACACCTCTTCTTACTCTACACTAAACACCTCTTCTTACTCCACAAACACCTCTTCTTACTCCACACTAAACACCTCTTCTTACTCAAGATTAAACACCTCTTCTTACTCCACCTTAGACACCTTTTCTTACTCCACATTAAACACATCTTCTTACTCCACACTAAACACCTCTTCTTACTCCACACTAAACACCTCTTCTTACTCCACACTAAACACCTCTTCTTACTCCACACTAAACACCTCTTCTTACTCCACACTAAACACCTCTTCTTACTCCACATTAAACACCTCTTCTTACTCCACATTAAACACCTCTTCTTACTCCACATTAAACACCTCTTCTTACTCCACACTAAACACCTCTTTTTACTCCACACTAAACACCTCTTCTTACTCCACACTCAACACCATTTCTTACTCCACACTAAACACCTCTTTTTACTCTACACTAAACACCTCTTCTTACTCCACACTAAACACCTCTCCTTACTCCACACTAAACACATCTTCTTACTCCACACTAAACACCTCTTCTTACTCCAAACTAAACACCTCTTCTTACTCCACATTAAACACCTCTTCTTACACAACACTACACGAAATATCGCTGCCTATTTCATGCTTAACACCTCCCCTACTGCACAAAAATCACCTCTCTCTATTCTACACTCAAAAGTCAACATCTCCCCTATTCTACACTACATACCTGTTCTATTCTACACTAAACACCTCCCCTATTCTACACTAAACACCTCCCCTCTTCTACACTACACACCTGTTCTATTCTACACTAAACACCTCCCCTATTCTACACTACATACCTGTTCTATTCTACACTAAACACCTCCCCTATTCTACACTAAACACCTCCCCTATTCTACACTACACACCTGTTCTATTCTACACTAAACACCTCCCCTATTCTACACTAAACACCTCCCCTATTCTACACTAAACACCTCCCCTATTCTACACTAAACATTCCCAATTCTACACACACACCTATTCTACACTAAAAACCTCCCGTATTCTACTCTAAACACCTCCCCTATTCTACACTACACACCTCCCCTATTCTACACTACACACCTGTCCCTATTCTACACTAAACACCTCCCCTATTCTACACTACACACCTGTCCCTATTCTACACTAAACACCTCCCCTATTCTACACTGCACACCTGTCCCTATTCTACACTACACAACTGTCCCTATTCTACACTACACACCTGTCCCTATTCTACACTTAACATCTCCCCTATTCTACACTAAACACCTCCCCTATTCTACACTATACACCTTCCCTATTCTACACTAAACACCTCCCCTATTCTATACTAAACACCTCCCCTATTCTACACTACACACCTCCCCTATTCTACACTAAACACCTCCCCTATTCTACACTACACACCTCCCCTATTCTACACTACACACCTCCCCTATTCTACTCTAAACACCTTTCCTATTCTACACTAAACACCTCCCCAATTCTACACTACACACCTCCCCTATTCTACACTAAAAACCTCCCCTATTCTACTCTAAACACCTCCCCTATTCTACACTACACACCTCCCCTATTCTACACTACACACCTGTCCCTATTCTACACTAAACACCTCCCCTATTCTACACTACACACCTGTCCCTATTCTACACTAAACACCTCCCCTATTCTACACTGCACACCTGTCCCTATTCTACACTACACAACTGTCCCTATTCTACACTACACACCTGTCCCTATTCTACACTTAACACCTCCCCTATTCTACACTAAACACCTCCCCTATTCTACACTATACACCTTCCCTATTCTACACTAAACACCTCCCCTATTCTACACTAAACACCTCCCCTATTCTACACTACACACCTCCCCTATTCTACACTAAACACCTCCCCTATTCTACACTAAACACCTCCCCTACTCCACATCAGTCACCTCTTCCTACACCAGACTAGTTATAACCCTTTATCTTATCCCACATCAAACACCACCCGTACTGCACACTTAACGTTTTCTCTACTTCACTCTCCACAACTTGAACGTACCTCTCCTAATCCACACCACATGACTCCCCAATACCTCATACTCAATGCATTAAAATGCAATCTAATTGTTCCTCATTTTGTCTACTAAGCTTGTTAACGTACCGCGTTATATGTGTGTTACTCCACTGTTCCGCTAACCTATATAGGTGTGTCGTAAACTGGTACGCGGAAACAGTGTTACTGACTCGGTAATGACAAACTGGTACGCCAGACGAATCTCGGTCAAATTTCTCAACACACTAATATAACGGGCGCCATACATTGTTTGCTGATTCGAATACTTCCTTTTATGCAGACAACAGAGGTGCAGTACATGCAGTTTTTATTTGCGCGAAGAACAGTTATAATTTGAGGTTATCGTTGCAGTAACCTTGGTGATTTAAATCACCTTAGAGTGAAATGAGGTGGCGCTGGAATGTGCATACAAGCATACGTCACCAGCACTCAAACACCTAGATCTGTAATTTGACAATTCCATGTTGTTACTTATCAATATATGACTGTAATCGAGGGAAATAATGTGTTTTAAAGCCTACAATAATCAAATTATTTCCCACTGAAATCGTCTATCATCCTGGATACATATTCCATCTGATCGTCCGACCGTCATCCAACCGTCCTTTATCCGTTCTCCCAGTAACAAATCTCGTTGCTACTATTTTTAGAAATGCCGGAAGACCAATTCTCGCCTTTCACGTTATATTTGGAGGTTGATCGTATAGCCAATATGTCCAAATACAGTCAACGCTCAAATTTGTTTCGGCAGTACTTCTCAATCTACTGAGTGAATTTGTAAATTAATTTTAGATATGCTTAAATTCTGAGGCTGATTCGACGAAATATATTATTGACAAGACTGCCACCTGTAATTGACGTTTGCATCTAGTTCTTGGCACCTGTGAAAAAGTCATTTATATAACCGAATGTATATCATATTAGGACTAATTTAAACTAAATCGAATCATCCCACGATCATCCAATTCTATCGCTGTCGTTTCCAGGTTTCCATACTTCAGTATTATATTACGGAGCTGACTTACATCACCGTGTAAGCCATTTCCTGTAGAAAACAGAGTTGTGCACAACCTTCCGGCGACATGACCACCACTCCGGGGGACAAGTTCAGCTACAAGGTGAGTATGTCGTTCAATGCAGCCGGATTATTAAACAGTTGCTCCTGGTAACTATTTTATGCAGATATAACAACTTCAATAAGACACCAGATGTGCCGATTATGATATCGCATCGAGAACATGAGGTGTATTGTGTACACTGCTACAGACTACTATGGTGTGTATACTGTAGTATTACAGTGGTGATTCTGACAGCTCGCTCTCTGTTTACTCACAATTGATAACATGACACCATGTTGGATGGTCATACCTATTTGTAATAACAACTCTCGCCCTTCTACCGCTTTCTACCGTTCTGAGTCCGATTCCTAGCGGAGAGCGTTGTTATGTACTCTACAGCCTAACTTGTTCACAACACACAAAGATTCACTCCATACCTTTCATCATTTTTAATGAAATACATGAAAATAACATTGATACAATATAACCATGAAATTATAATGTAGGTACCGTAAAATCGTTAATTTTCATGGAGGATTATTTTGGTCGAGGGTGTGTGTGTGTGTGGTTTTTTTTTTTTTTTTTAATTATTTTTTGCAGAGTCTTTTTTATTTTAAACCAGATATAAGTCTAATATACATTAAAAATGAAGTGAAATGATAAAATGAAAATATTTTAAGAAATTCTTTCATTTCTCTCTGTCAGATTCCAATGTAGCAAAAAGAATTGTCGTGATGATCTGATAACATGTAACAAGATACTATAAAACTGGTTCCAGGAGTATTCCAAACAGAGTAAATTATGTAGAGCAGGGTGTCTTTAAATTTACACACTTGTGTTTAAGATAGAGAATCCAAAGAAAGACTATCACACATAGAAAGTTACGAGGTAACTAGTCTGTATATGACAAATCGTTATATCTCACCTGCTCTGTGTTCGGTAGGAATGCTGTAAAAAACAACAAGAAAGTTTGGCAGATTTTCCATGAACCGTCATGGTTACAAATCTTCTCGTAAGGTGGCACAGCATGTTGGTATATGCGGGGAGTATTCCGTGTTATACATGCATAAAAAAGAAATATTTCTACCGGTTTATGTGATAGCTTACTGGTGACTTGTTTGCTTCATATTGAGTACATCTCGTGCTTTCGTTGTTACTGACCCGATTCCATTTTTGATAACGTGACATTAATTTGATTGACCTTTATTCGGTATTTGCCCTTTTTGACCACCAGGAACAATTTTATTGCGTTTTGTGAAGGAATTTTCTCTCGAAAATGTTTCAAGATAGCAGAAATGAGTTTATAATATATTTTAGTTTAAACGTTAATGCTTAAAATTCGCTGAAAATATGGTTCACACGACATCCTTTTCCCTTGTTTTGTTGTCTTAAATTATAAAAGAGATCTTTGTGATTTCGCTAATTTTCACGAAATGACGCATTCGACTATGGGTCCTAAAAATGTATATCAAGTATTTTTTCGTTGGTGTGGCATTTTTCTCATATTGTATTTCTAGAAAAAAATTTAGATTAAAAATCACTGAATATATACTAATATAAAGTCTTTTGCACAGATTGAACTGCACATCCACCTAGACGGAGCCATCCGATCAGAGACCATTTTAGATATTTCAAAGTAAGTAAGGGAGGAGAACTATTAGGAAGGGGAAGGGCTGATAAACAAGAATAACAAGTGATCTTTAGTTTGATGAGCCGAATAATATTCCTTGTATTGTTACTCGAAAGTGTTCTAAATTGATGCAAGTGGTCAAAATATTTTTGCATTCTCTATTGCAATAGACAAAATTTGATGTTTATCACACTACAAACAAGATAAGATGCCAGATAGGGATAATTCCTGACCATGATCTACCGCTCCCTGTCATATTCTACCCTACAAGTCCCTGCCATATTCTACCCTACAAGTCCCTGCCATATTCTACCCTTCAAGTCCCTGCCATATTCTACCCTACAAGTCCCTGCCATATTCTACAGGTCCCTGCCATATTCTACAGGTCCCTGCCATATTCTACCCTACAAGTCCCTGCCATATTCTACCCTACAAGTCCCTGCCATATTCTACCCTACAAGTCCCTGCCATATTCTACAGGTCCCTGCCATATTCTACCCTACAAGTCCCTGCCATATTCTACAGGTCCCTGCCATATTCTACAGGTCCCTGCCATATTCTACCCTACAAGTCCCTGCCATATTCTACTACAAGTCCCTGCCATATTCTACCCTTCAAGTCCCTGCCATATTCTACCCTACAAGTCCCTGCCATATTCTACCCTACAAGTCCCTGCCATATTCTACCCTACAAGTCCCTGCCATATTCTACCCTACAAGTCCCTGCCATATTCTACTGGTTCCAGTGATGGTCAACCAGTCCCTGTCATGGTCCTTTGGTCCCTGTCATGACCTACCGGTCCCAGGCATAGTATACCGGTGCATGCCATGATCTACGGCTCCATCCTATGATCTACAAGTCCCTGCCAAAGTTTATCGGCCCAGATGTACCAGTTCCTGAAATGGTCTACCGGTCTCTTAGACGGTCTACCGACACCAGCCATGATATACAGGTCACCGGTCCTTGTCGTGATATAACGGTGCCTGCCATGTTGTGCCGTTGTCTGCCATGGTCCACAGCTTCCTGCAATGACCTACTAGCCCCTTCCATAATATACCGATCCCTGTCAATGTATACCGGTCACTGCCAATGTATAACGGTACCCTCAATGACCTACAAGTTCCTGCCCTGTGATGGTCTACCTGTCTCTGCCATGACAGACCGGTCCTTGTCACGGTTTACCTGTTCCGCCATGATCTTTTGATCGCTGCCCTGCCATGACATCCCGGTCCCTGCCATGGTATGCCGGTCCCTACCCTGTCATGACATACCGGTTCCTGCCCTGCAATGACATGCCAGTCCCTGCCCTGTCATGACATACCGGTCCCTGCCCTGCCATGATATACCGGTCCCTGCACTGCCTGATATGCAGGTCCCAGCCCGGCCATGATATGCCTTTCCTAGCCCGGCCATGATATACCGGTCCCTGCCCAGCCTGATATGCCGGTCCCTGCCCGGGCATGGTATTCCTGTCCCTGCCCTGTCATGATATACCGGTCCCTGCCCGGCCAGTATATGCCGATCCCTGCCCTGCCAAGATATGCATGTCCCTGCCCGGCCATGATATACTGGTCCCTGCCCTGCCCTGCCATGATATACCGGTCCCTGCCCTGCCATGACATGCCGGTCCCTGCCCTGTCATGATATACCGGTCCCTGCCCTGCCATGATATGCCGGTCCCTGCCCTGTCATAATATACCGGTCCCTGCCCTGCCATAATATGCCGGTCCCTTCCCTGCCATGATATGCATGTCCCTGCCCGGCCATGATGTACCGGTCCCTGCCCTGTCTGATATGCCGGTCCCCGCCCGGCCATGATATGCCGGTCCCTGCCCTGCCATGATATGCCGGTCCTTGCCCGACCATGATATGCCTGTCCCTGCCCGGCCATGATATACCGGTCCCTGCCCTGCCTGATATGCCGGTCCCCGCTCGGCCATGATATATGCCGGTCCCTGCCCTGCCATGATATGCCGGTCCCTGCCCGGCTATGATATACCGGTCCCTGCCCTGCTATGATGTGCCTGTCACTGCCATAACGGTCCATGATCTACAGAATGAAGTTTCTGAACTTTTCAAATTTACCGTATAACAGGTACATCTCTATTCCGTGTATATATCATATTTAACAGAACTAAAGGACGACCTATAATATCAGTTGATGACGACGGACAAGAAACCGTTATCACAGATCAGGAATCACTGGACAAAGAAATAGTCATCACAACGCCATGTAGTCTGAAATTATTCTTACATGCATTCAATGTCTTCATGCCAATCATAGCGTAAGTGAAACACGTTATCATCATATCTGTCAAATAAAATTTAGATCGTATCAATCACCTTGAGACAAGTTTAGATTACGTGTGATTTCCTTTTTCTGTGAAAATAAAACATATTTTTATTCAGAAAACTAAAACATTGTTATCCAACACAAATAATAACACAGAAACATCACAAGCCTTGACAAAATAAATATGTCAGTGTTCTAAGTTTTTTCTTTTCTTGAATGAACGGAAGGCTGATAATCTACATGTGATCTAATAAACAATTTTTATACTGTTATCATTAAGTGTTTAAGAGTAGGTAATAAAAAGCTTTTGAATTCTGCGAATAGTCATAAAATATTACTCACAAAAAATGAGGTGTCTGGATGTGATTCTAGGATATTTTGACTTAGAAATCCCTACTTTATACCCAGAAAGACTTTCAACAGGTATCTTTTTCTCTATACTGAATATTTAAGATTTTGATAAATCACAAAGACAACGCTATAAACCGCCTCAAAATCGTAGTTAAGTGCATTTCCTCTTTTGATAATAACATTTCTGTCAATCAATTTTCCTCATTTGCCCCCAAATGTTTCCAAATTCAGACCCTTAACATCAATGACGAGTCTTAGAACGACGAACCTGATGTATTATACCGTTTAATTCGTTCTTTGACTCACTGTTACAGTATCTACTTCTATATTTGTTTTTAATACTCGCTTATGTGTCTTGTATGATTTTCTTAATTCCGCTCTCTCTACTGTTGCAGCGGCGATAGGGATGCTGTGTTCAGAATTGCGTACGAGTTTTGTGAAGACTGTGCCAAATCTGGTATACGATATGTCGAGGCCAGGTATAATCCCCATCTGTTGGCTAATACACTAGATAAACCAGCATACGCTAGGGAGCGTGGGGACTTTTCTCCGAGAGATGTGGTAATTACAGTATGTGATGCTCTTGATAAGGGAAGTCGCGACTTCAACATTACAGTCAACTCAATATTATGCTGCATGACTCACCAACCAGGTACAATATATTTGTTTTCTCTTCTTTCTTCATACACATATTTACAGTCGCACTTCGTTATTTCGAAGTCGGTTGGACCATTGAAAAGCTTCAGTTATCAGAGTTTTCGATTTAAATGAGATCGAATGTTTGGTGATAAGTTTGGCCGAGACAAAAGAAATACTAATTAAACGGGTTCTTCGATTTGAGCGAGCTCGAGATACCGAGGTTTGGTTTATATATTTTTATTTTGGTCACTTCCACGCCGTACAAATCAACAGACCTACCTATCGATGCTTTCCTCCTGCTAAATTTTAAAAGACAGAAAATTTCGTCCATCTTTCTGCGCACTAATTGTTTATAACGATATTGCGAAATGAGGTAGTTTCTATGACTTCAGACTGGTCTGCTGAGATCGTGTCATTATGTAAAGAATTCAAGGACAGAGGAGTTGTGGCCATAGACAGTGCTGGACAGGACTTCGAACCAGGCAAGGATCCACTTCTCTGTGGACACAAAAAAGCCTTCAAGGTAAAATTTCTAATAAAAATGTATAATTGTACGATATACAATGTCTTTCTCAGAAAATCCCCATAACTTAGGACAGGTAATCTTAAAGCTGTAATACTCACGGTGAAGTGATTTATTTACTGCATTAATCGCCATTAGATGTTTACGTACAAAACTTTACATGTTCTTTTTCAGGTGATATGTTAAGTGGAATAACATCAAGCATAAAAAAATCAGAATATGTTGCCCTTTTTATGCCCCCGCCATTTATGGTCGGGGGCATATAGCGTTGCCCATGTCCGTCCGTCCCGTCGCGTCCCGTCCCGTCCCGTCGCGTCGCGTCCCAAATCAGTATATATCACCTAACAACTTCATTCGGACCTTTCACTATTATTTCACACATGGGGGGGGGCATTCATGTCTTACAGACATTTTCTAGTTTTAATAAAATAGTTGCTTTAGCATATACAAATTCAAACTAGCAATTCCATTCAAACAAGCGCATCATAAAAAATATCTTCATCTTGTACCGATCTTATGAATGTATCAATATCTTAACACGTCGAACAAAGGAATACCTGATGTGGTTTCACCTCTAAGAATTCTTTTACGTTTATATGCCAAGCTTACTGTAATATAAGGCATTTTTGTGGTACTGATTTGTTTCCATCGGGGAAATACAAATCCCTGTTCGATTGACACTAGACTTCATAGATATACAATGCTCACGAAATATACGAGTTCTTGAATCAATATCAACGTTAGCAGTTGATAATTTCGCGGGCATTTTGATGTATTAAGTATACCCACAGAATCAGTGTAAATAAAACCCCCGAAAAAAGTTTACAGTTCTTTGGGTATTCATTTACACATTTGTATTAAAGTTAATCTGTGTATACTCGTCTTTAGACACAGCAATATGTTGATATGTCCCATTTGAATATAACAAAAGCGCTATTACTTTACCAATAACGGTGATTTACTAAATAGATAGACGTCACACAGGTCTTAGACTTAAATGAAATAGAAGTGATAGAAACCTAGCAATAACAGGGTAAATTATAGATCATGTGACGTCATACAGGTGATAGATAGACCTCGCTGGTTTCCACGATGTCTTTTATAGGTTAGAAGAGCTTTGGGATAAATTACCGATGCGATCGTTGGACTAATCAAAATTTGCGTATTGACATATTCCATTTAATGTCATTTTATTTTTCAATGATATAAACAAAGTATTTGTTATGGTTGATTTTTAGGAAGCTTACGACAATGGCATCCACAGAACTGTCCACGCGGGAGAAAATGGGCCCTCCGAAGGGGTCAGGGAGGTCAGTGAGTTGAGTCAAAAAATTAAGTGCGAAACATAGATGTTATGAAAATAACATATTTGTGTAAAACGTTTTTACAGAAGGAGACAGCCAGTTCTGTCTTAGTTTTTATTTTTTTTCTTGATACGCTCATCAACAGAATGTAGCACGTAACCTTTTCTCTGTTTATTACTTTGCCATTATCATAGTCGTCATAGTGAACTCATTGAGAATTAGTCTATTTCTTTGTGCAACATGAAATTGGGCGTGTTTGGTGCTGATTAGTGTATACCTTGTTCTCTTTTGAGAACGTGACATTACTTACTTGGATTGACCAAGGTTTACTCTTCTTATTCCCCTTCTACTTTATAAGAGTCTCCGTGTAAATCTAACTTTTGTCCCTATTTTGCCCTAGTGTCATGGAATTAAAGTGTGGATTATGATTATGTTGAAAGGTGGACGTTTCTTGCTCACAATTTCACACTCGGTAACTCAACAACACTGAGTAATACATGCTTAGTTTTGAAGTGAATTGTGAACAATTCTTTGTATGTCTACCAGGCTCTGGACCATATGTACGCCGAGAGGATTGGCCACGGCTATCACGTGACAGACGACCCAGAACTGTACAGTCGATGTAAAGAAGACGGAGTTCATTTTGAAATCTGTCCATTGTCCAGCATCATAACTGGTGCGTGCCCTGAGGATATTATGAAACATCCGCTCATTAGGTAACAGTGTACTTATTACTGCATGCAGAATTTAAATAAATGTGTCACTGATTTACTTGACTTTACGAAATATATCTCTTTGGTAGTATCTATAGTTTTCAATAAGCCGATTATCTACTCAGTGTATGTCGTACAACGTCTCACAATTCCAGTCCATACTGACTAGCAGGTGTTTGACAAATAATCATGAAATCATCTGTCCGTCCGTTTGTCCGTGAAGTAAAGAGCAAATATCCATTTCATTGCAATAAAAGAGACCAGAAATTAAAAAGACATATAGGGTCAGTGACATACTTTGATGAAAGTCTTGAAATTTGTTCTCAATGAATGCCGAATGCCTTTGACCCAATTTTAATGTCACATGGGTCAAGTGTGTTGAACTTATCAGACAATTTCTACTAGAAGGAAGTGTGTTAGGTAGTTTCCTGAATATATAGATAGAGTCATTGGGCATATTATTGCTACTGCAAGTTCAAATTTTGCGGGTGAATTTGTTTTCGTTGAACATGTGAGTACTCCAAATCCACGAATTTAGTTGTCGACGTAATGTTATAAAAATTATCATAGGTTATAGTACTAGCATTATTGCGTTATTGTGAGCAAGATGTAACCACGAAAATAAGTAGCAACAAAAATGTATATTTTTTGAAAGCCACGAAATTTGAGCACCACGGAAATATACGATTTGACTGTTCGACTTTATTGTTGATATATTGAACATTTCTTATTACAGATTTGCCGATGAGGGGGTAAATTTCTCTCTCAATACTGACGACCCAATTATTCTAAACAACGCGCTTGCGGATGATTATGTACTAGCTAATAAAATGGGTCTGAGCGATGAGCAAATTATAAACTCCGTAAGTATTAGCATAGAACCAATTGTGTTATGTAGGATGAAAATATCAGGTACCTATCTTATGTGCACCCATGCTAAAATTTTTACATACATATAGAATGTATTTTATATAGGTTGTAGATATATGTTAGAATTCATAAATAAAGACCGAATGTATCTTATGTAGGTTGTAAATATATTCAAATTTTCAGAGATAACTGATATTTTTGTATGATGTACAATATTTTTCAGATATTCAATGCTGCGAGAGCTTCATTTGCAACTGAGGAACAGAAGAAAAAAATGTTACAAGATTTAGTAAACGTCTATGGTGAACATTGAATATGATATCTATGTTGATTTCAGGTTTCTCAGTATACGTTTATAGTACATGCTTAAATCTCTTCAGTTAGTCCAAGTTATTCTGACGTTCTATCGATTTGTTATGTTGGTATGCAGTCGATGAACGTCAGAACTTCATTTCTATATAAAGTAAGGGTAATATGCAACCCGCGCATCGGTCGGCATGTGAAAATGGCGATTTCTTTCCACAGTTATCGTTTGAATGTCGACCCAGGCATGGGTTGCTTACTCCTCTCACTTTCTATAGGGCCGGAGTTCTGACGTTCATCGACTCCAGACCGATAAAAAAGCTGATAGAACGTCAGATTAAATCGAACTACTCTTCAGTATGCAAAAAAATTAAATGCTTTTTTCGCGATAAATCTGTTGTACGACCGACTATTGTAGGGGTCATACGAAATGTATATGTATCAACACTGAGACGCTTCAAAGGTTGCTCTGAACAAATCTGTGATCTAATTGATAGGTTTATGAACATCTGAAAACATTTTTATATACGCGTCATATTTCATCCACGAGATATCTTGGTGACTGCGGGGCTGTTTACTACAAGCTGGTAGCTAAGAGTGTTGTACATAATACATAAAAGTGTAATTTCCATCTAAAGACGATTGAAATTACCTCTCAGATTGTCATGAAATATTCTTATTGCCGAAGGACACTAAATTAACTCCAGTATTGTAGGGTTGCAACCATCAATCATATTTATATTGTTAATACTGTTCAGCATTACAAAGGTTAATTTCAAAATGTTCGAACACTTTTAAATAGAAGGAAATTGACTGTTTACACACTCTTACAAAACCATATTGCATGTTCTTAATAATAGATAGGGTGGCCAATATCTATAAATGGGTACTTAAGTACATTCACGTGTATCCATGGTCAAAGGTCAAAGATATAAACCATTCATTATTTACATATTCTATAAACGATATTTTTCATTACTTTCGTTTTGTTATTAGGTCTGTTCGCATGTCGTGGTTGTTTTATTCATCTTTGTGTCCTGACCACTACAGCCCACCAATGTTTTCAGTGCCTTTTTTATACCGGTAAAGTGGTCATAATAATGGTTTATCCTTTGCGAATTTGTGGTAACCTTGAGAATTCAGTAAAGATTTAGATTTTGTGATTTTCCAAGGACTCAGTGAAAATTTAGGTTGGTAATTCTCTCAGGACGGAAATCCAAACGATTTAATTCTACATTTTTTGAAATCACAATTCCATCGTCATATCTTAATTTCGTGGCTGTTGAATCGGTTAACTGACAAATAATTGATGAATTATCCATAGAAAATGGGTAGAAAATAACTACAGCTTGTATGAATTAGGTTTGTTTATGTGGATTTTGATGAATCGATTCAAACAATATCATGTTTAATGTTAATTTACCTAAACAGAGTCTGGTGGAAAACATAACAAACCGTTGTTAATCTTTACATATACGACTTTAATGGTTGTTTTGTGGTCGAGTGGATTTGTATGCTTATCAGTAGATGTGATTGAATAATTGAAAAGCCTTTTTAAAAGTGTTATGTTATTAGCATATCTGGTTGTATATGACGGTGTCAATTATTGGCGTGTATGTCTTCAATTGGTCATGATTTCAATACCTTATTTTCTTCTATCTTATTTAGAAAATTAAATTTTGATAATTATCAATAAAATATAAACCAAAACAGTTATTAGGTACTTTTGTGCTGCATGCAAATTAACACGAACAAACAGAAGAACCTCAATTACGAAATAACTGCAGCTTTGATAAACCTTTGATAAACGTTGATAAACCTTTCTTGTTTATTATTGTCTTTTCTGTCATTGCTTGTTATAACAATCCATTAAAAGTGTTTCTGTTATAATGTCTCTGTGATCTTCTGTTATTACAATATTACTATTATCACGTTTCTGTAATCGTCTCTTATTACAATGTTACTATTATAACGTTTTTCAAATCGTCTCTTATTACAATGTTACTATTATAACGTTTTTGTAATCGTCTCTTATTACAATGTTACTATTATAACGTTTCTGTAATCGTCTCTTATTACAATGTTACTATTATAACGTTTCTGTAATCGTCTCTTATTACAATGTTACTATTATAACGTTTCTGTAATAGTCTCTTATTACAATATTACTATTATAACGTTTCTGTAATCGTCTCTTATTACAATGTTACTATTATAACGTTTTTGTAATCGTCTCTTATTACAATATTACTATTATAACGTTTCTGTAATAGTCTCTTATTACAATATTACTATTATAACGTTTCTGTAATCGTCTCTTATTACAATGTTACTATTATAACGTTTTTGTAATCGTCTCTTATTACAATATTACTATTATAACGTTTCTGTAATAGTCTCTTATTACAATATTACTATTATAACGTTTCTGTAATCGTCTCTTATTACAATGTTACTATTATAACGTTTTTCAAATCGTCTCTTATTACAATGTTACTATTATAACGTTTTTGTAATCGTCTCTTATTACAATACTACTATCATAAGGTTTCTGTAATAGTCTCTTATTACAATGTTACTATTATAACGTTTTTCAAATCGTCTCTTATTACAGTATTACTATTATAACGTTTCAGTAATCGCCTGTTGTTACAATATTACTATTATAACGTCTCTGTAATCGTCTCTTATTACAATACTACTATCATAACGTTTCTGTAATCGCCTGTTATTACAATCTAGTACAGTATTACTGTTACAACGTTTCTGTAATCGGCTGTTATTACATTCAATTGCAATATTACTGCTACAATGCCTCTTTAATTGTACGATAATGGATACCAATGATTTTAAGTTTGTAAACAAACAGTATTGTTGAAAGTAGTACAACAGAAACAAACGTGAAAAGCACCTTTTCATAATTTAGAGTAAGATACAGTATAGCCAAACAAGGCATTAAACTGCATCATACAGTTGTTTCTTTCTTCTAGGACCTGTCAATGATGCTAAGGGGCCTCAATTTTGAAGTCTATCAGGGGACTGGTGAAAATCCAAAGGGGTCGAAAGAAATGTCAAAACCTAGAAAAGCACTTGCGCCATTATTCAATAAAGTTCATAATTTTAGTTATCAGTTTAAGAACAGTTTAAGAAAATATATTTTGAACCGTAAATAAGACACCCAAAATGTTTGGTTTTAATGGTGATAATATATTAACTTACATAATACTGTTTGAGATAACATGATTGCTGAGAATTTGAGCAGACAAAATGTGATGATATTTGAATTATAGAATGGATATTTACCTTACGTTTGATTTCCATTTAACATTGTTCATCTTTACGCATACAAGTCTACGAGGAGACCGAACAACACGCAATTTACTTCATATCTATTTTCCAATTATATGGTTTGTCTCCCGAAATCAAACTTCTGTGTTGAAAAACAGTGATAATAATACTTTTAAGTTATTGTGGGGCTCTATAAACCCTTAAAAAAAATTTAAATGAAGAAATTAACAGAACTGGTAAACTTGAAAGGCGATACAAACACAGAGAGAAAAACAAAATACATTCATGTCAACATAATCATAATCCAAACTCAAATTCAATGAAACTAAGGCATAATAATGAACTAAAGACAGATTTAGATAGAGACCCGTGATAAAATACAGAGAAAATAGGACCAGGTGTTCCGGAAGAGTTCATCGACGACACCCGCCGTGTAATTTTTTGTCAATACAAGTAAATGTCGAGTTCGCAAATGAACAGTAAACAACGCAACCAACAGGCATACTCACGAGCACACACACGTGTCATTTCATATCGCATTATGAAATCGAATAATTGTTACTGAAATCATCATGACGATCGTGTAACTTCCCTATTTCTTTTTCATGAACCTGCATCCCTCGGAAAAAATAATGTCTTAGTCTGACGTTGTTTCAAAACTTTACACCGATTTTACATTTTTTATCACGTTGTTAATTACTGACAGCATGTAATAAAACAAAAATTAATCATACATATTTTCTATAATATTACTTTCTTCTATAAGTTATTCTGCACGGTTCCATGTCTATCTTAGCGATTCACATTCTAATCGGCTTTGTTAAGCAACAACAAAGAGGACATAACAGGTTTAGGAGTTAGCCTTCCTCACAATAGATATGCATTTACCTTTTAATTTGAAGGTTTTGTTCACTATAATCACGATGAAAACGACACCGTTTCACAGTAAATCCCATGTAGAGGTGTCTCATTGAGTAGTGTGGGAACTTCTGAAGTATTCAAGCCGAGTGTAATTTGTCCCATTCTTTGCCAAAATACAAAGCTATGCCTTAACATTAAAACGCGTAAATACCATTTACCAACAGTTTAAAGGTACACTAGAGTATAAAAACCTTTTCTCTGCTTTATTTTTATTTTCCAATAATACTTTTAATAATAGGAGGTTTGTATTAAATTTTAATTTATACACATATTGAATATGATTTATTTGCTCGAGATTTATCTAAGTGCCACGAATGATTGATTCGACATATTTCAGACCATAACATTAATGTTTTCTTTTATGCTTTTCTGTCCTAATCATTTTGATTTTTTTCCGGAGTGCGGCGAGGAAGGACCCTTATAAAAGGACACCAGTGAATGTTGGCACATGAAAAATGTAATCTTCATATAATATCTCATTCTTCATCAACTTTTGAGTGATTTATAAAGGACAAATGACGTCACAGTTTTGGGTATTGGTGAATCATAAAGTGATCAACTTATGGTTAGATTCATAGTGAATATATACATATATCTATACATATAATCATGTATCCATGTATGAAAGAAATTCCACGTAAATGTGAGCTATTCGTATTTCTGTTGGACTGATTCTTGGACATAACGATGCAGATACATACATGTAAATAACGATATTGAAATTCGATTTGTAACGAACACGGTCCATACACTATGAACAACATTTTTTTTAAAAAATGAAAATACCAACATGGCAACATTTTCATAATCCAAACTCAAATTCCATAAAACTAGAGAAAAAACAAAAACAAATGATGGATGATAATACAGCTGGTAGCCAAGGTCAGGGGTCACCTGTAATATTTTAGGGGCTTTTGCGCTTTCTATAGCTACAAAGTGATACCAACATGAGGACTTTTTGTGAATAACACCAATGGTCCCCATTTCCATCCTTCCAAACCTCAACCCCGATTTTAATCTGTTTCTTAAGCAAAAAAATATTTGTATTACATGCTAATTTTTTCTCGTTTATTGGCTTTAAGCGCAATTAGGTATAAATATGTGTAATGATAAACAAAACGAAAATATTCAATTTGTCATAATGTCTAAAGAAATCCCGCAACGGAAAACAGTAATTATGACACTGTAGTAGGGAGAAAGATGTAGCTTATAAACAAAAAAAATCATCAAGATAAAACAACCTAGGCAATATAATAATAATTCAAATTCAAATTCCATAATACTAGGGCAAAATATGAACAAAACAATTATTTACTCATGAAAATGTCAAAGGAGAATAAGACCAGGTGTTCCGGAAGAGTAAGCGTCTTCTGTTTCATCGACGACAATGCCATGTAAACCGTTGTCAATCCAACTAAGTAAATCAGAGAATACAAAGTAACTAATGGTCTACCTCGAGGACAGACAACCAGTATTCTTGGTGAGCGACCGATGACGACAGCGAAACAGTTCCGTTAAGACATAAATTAAGTATATAACACCACGAAGTGGAATGCTGTCTCATCTCAAGGTGATTACTCGACAAAACTGTTTATTCTTTTTAAGAAAGCAGTCTCACATTGGCATTTATATGGCGATGATTGATATTTACCAAATTGCTCCCAAACACTCCACCACTTCTTAAAACAACATCACAAAAGCCGAACAGATTCCACTGATAAACAAGCGTCTGTCACGCACAAACAACGTTAAAGTCTTACATTCTTGTTATCGATCAGAGGACTTGATTGTTTAATATACAATCTGTCCGTCGTCCGTCCACTTTCCTTTCCAGTTGCTTTTGGTGTTGGAATCTTTAAGAAATAGAAGAAGCAATGAGTACCTCTCAAATGTTGTTTTTTGGATTTCCCTCTGTATGTATATCTGTATTACTTATTGTTGTTGCTTGCTTGTATTAGCTTCTTGATGTTTCAGCTTAATGGCACGTGATATTTATATTTTTGTTTGTTTGTTTGTTTGTTATTACTGTTATTTAGTCAACGGTATACGATAATAAAATGAACACATTAAACTTGATCTTTCAGGCATGTATGAAATAGCCTTACATGAGAACGATTCACTAACAGGACTAAGGTAAGTAGAAAGGCGGAGTTGTAGGCGTGGTCACATTATACATGAACGACGGTATAGCACTTGTTACTACACACATTTGTTTGGCAGAAGGAGAGCTTCTGCACGGTAAGATGTAAAAGTGCGATGTATAGAAAGGCTAATCAATACTGACGATAACGCTACACTGTACCATTACAGAATAAGACAATGATTCTCTGGTGTACGTTTTTGGTGTTTATCTTGGATATGACGCAAATAGAAATGGCCGCAGGTGAGCATTTATTTAATATTTTATTGAGAAAATATTGGTTTTTATTATTCATTAACTTAAATCTGCTGTTTGATAAAACCGTTATAATAAATTTTCATCGATTTGCCAAACGCGATATTTAACTAAACAAAGGAATTTACATGGACAATAAGACCAAGTGTTCCAGAGAAATAAGCTTCTTGAACTTCATCGACGACAGCTGCTTTGTAAATCTAGACCGAATGAAGTAAATTCACGTCCTCAAAATAAAAACAGATTTATTTACCACGCTGAGCCCAACTGACGAGCATCGAATGTGTTTCTTACTCCATAATTAAGTTCGCTTATAGGTAATATCGCAGATTGTAGTATAATGCTTACCTCAAAACCACGGCATATAGTAGCTCGCGAGTATTAGTAAAATTTCTCATGCAACGAAAGCAACCATTAAAGTTACTTAACTAATTAAATCAGTTGCAAGTTACTGACTGTGACTGAATAAGATACATTAATTTTTATTATGCATTAATTAATACATGTAATTGTTACTATACAATAATTTATACCTGTAATTGTTACTATACAATAATTTATACCTGTAATTGTTACTTTACAATAATTTATACCTATAATCGTTATTTAGCATCAATTTATACCTGTAATTGTAACTATGTATTAATTCATACCTGTAATTATTACTATGCACCAATGAATACATTTAATTGTTGCTATGCATTAGTTTATACCTGTAATTGTTACTATGCATTAATTTATACATGTAATTGTTACTATGCATTAATTTATATTTGTAATTGTTACTATGTATTAATTCATACCTGTAATTATTACTATGCACCAATGAATACCTGTAATTGTTACTATGCATTAATTTATACCTGTAATTGTTACTATACAATAATTTGTTGTAATTGTTACTATACAATAATTTATACCTGTAATTGTTACTATACAATAATTTATACCTGTAATTGTTACTATACAATAATTTATACCTGTAATTGTTACTATGCATTAATTTATACCTGTAATTGTTACTATACAATAATTGATAACTGTAATTGTTACTGTGCATTAATTTATACCAGTTATTGTTACTATGCTTTTAAATCGGTTAACTGTTACTGTACATTCATTGACGCCATCGTCTGAACGAGATCAGAGATTATGATTCGGAAACAAATGGCGTAGATGAAGACAAGTACAGTCTGTCCTCGCTCAGTTAATAGAAGATACGTTTGCCTCGTCGAAAAATAGTTAACACACATTTAATTCGGATTTGCTCCAGCCTATAAACCATATTCTTTATTAATGTGAAAAGTATTTGTAACAGTAGAGCCCTTGTTAATAATATCATTTGAAACATTATATTTAATAAAGGATTTTTATGATTATGAGGAGAAATGGTTAATATGATATTTCTTATTAAAAAAAATACTTCCTTTTCCTCCTTTAACTATACAATACAGGTAGAGAGCGGGGTATGTATAAGTTTGAATAAAATCACGAAACTATGTTTATTGTTAACTTGTTTGACACAATATTATGACCAGGTCTGGTCTGACCTTCATAAAATTTAAATATATTTGTTATTCAGTGGCCATTTTTTTCTGTTCTGGCGAAATTGATTAAATTTTCACCATGAAGACTTCAACGTATTTTGGGGCCCATCTCCACAATTATCATTTACAATAAATGATTTACATACACAAAAGGATACAAAATGCATTAAGAATATTCATGTTGCAGAAATAGATATTTCGTTCGATTTGGACAAAGTTATATTAGAAAAAAAAGTAGCACAATTGGCCAGATTTAATGTTCATTGGTCATTGTGATAATGAAATTTAATGTCATATTTTAAGGATACAACAGAAATTAATTAGTAGCATTTTTTACATTGAAAAGCACAGCGAACCCAATATCGTCTCATTAAAAATGCCTGTCACCGACGTATAGATTTTAATAGTTTTCAATGCAATGTTTTGGAAATCTGCATTGTATGTTAAATGGTATTTATTTATAGCTGATTTCTCATATCAACTGTGACACATAAAGAAGTTATCACAATTCAAATGTGGTAAAACAAGAATTTTCCTTATAATCCTGTGTAGGCCAAAACACATTTACACAGAGTTTGATTTCAATAGTTTTTTTTTCTCGTTATAATATTGATGTGAAATATTCAGATGAATAAGTGTGATAATAAGTTTAGTAACAATTATCTCCCAATTTAGAGTATTTTAATATAATTTGAGTGGATAACAACCAAGTGTTTCGGAAGGCTAAGCGTCTTCTGCTTCATCGAGGACACACGCCCTGTAAATATTTGTCAATCCAAGAGACTAATACAAGGAAAAGAACAATGGGACCACCAAGAATACTATCAAGCATCAAACACGTGCAGATATACTGTAAAAGCATTATTTTTCGTGGGAATTATATTTCATTGATTTCATGATAAAAGACACGCGAAAGGATAACACTTGCAAATGCAGATTTAGAATTAGATAAGTAATCAGTTATACAGACTCATACAACTGTATTATCCGTACAGGAGTCGTCAGAACTTGTGAGGGTTAATTAATGCAAAAAAAGCGAACGATTTTTCAGAGACAAGAAACATGGTACTAAGTTAGCGATTTGCTCGGCACCGATTCCGGTGCTAGACGTTTATGTTCGCTGATAGTTTATTTTGCAGGTTGTAGCGTTATGCTCTCTCTTCTGAAGATAGTAACTCGCGAACATTAATAAATTTGCAGTATTTACCTCATCATTTATTACATTAGCAAGAGTTTAAAAAAATTACAGAACAGAAGATTTCTTTATGCGGGTACTTTAACAATCAGTTTATTTACCTTTTTTCCGTGTAAAGGTGAATAAATCTTTGCGTATTTACATCTGTCCTTCATGTTTACCCAGGAAAGTATATATGGAATGCCTCAATTTATTGTGTTCGCGACAGTTTTGTTCAACACGATTCTTTCTGTAAAAGTGTTGACATGTTTCGTCATCGTACGTCAAACCCTACGCTGTGGCGGATATTGCAAAAATCAACAATATCGTCATTGTTAAGTCAAATTCTAAATCGAGAAAAAAACGGAAGTAGAATGTTTCTACATATTTAAAGAGAAGTTGGTTCATTCTTTGATAAATGGATGAAGGCCAAATGACGCAAATATAGATGAATTTTTAAACCCTTCATTTTATAAGAAGGGATTTTACCAGATTTGATCTCGTACATTCTATGTTAACCGGGTCCCATGTTTGTTTGAGCAGAGAGTTTGGCTTCCATAGACAGAGTGGTGGGCCATGTTGATTAAATAAAATTAAAATGTCAAAATACGTTTTTTACTATTTAGATGTAGACATCATGTCAGCATAATCATAATCCAAACTCAAATTTGATTCTAAAAGGGGATTTAAAAAAAGAAAATAAGTTTTACAGGGGTTATGTTATTTAGACAGTTCACTTCAAATGAATCATTTGTTTGTGTTGTTTCTGATGTTTATTTCAATCGATTTAAAACCCTTTAACTATGTTTTGAATATTACTGGCAAGACATTTTCAATTAAAAAAAAAGAAAACTCATTTAAAACTTAAAGAACATAGCAGAAAATGACAGCAAAAAGAACTTGACTGTCTGCTCCAAAACATTTGTTAATTTTTTATTTTGAAATAAATTATCACCGTTTATAGCCATTCATGCGAAGGGTTCTTGTTGACATCAAAATTATCCGCTAACGACTGTCTGGTGTCTGCCATTCTTTATAACTACAAGTCATGTACACCTTTCAATACAAATTTAATATAACATCATCGGCCTTTTGATTATTTGACCTGCATTATACAACTACTTCGACAGTAATGATAAGGAACTGCATTGTTAATCGAAATCGATTGAAATAAACGTATGAAAGAATGGAAAGTGCAATAACCCCAGAATTAAATTACATACGTACAGTCTGAGTCGAACCATTATCCTGATAAATTAAAACGTGACATGCAGGTTACCCAGAAACCCCCAGCATTGTCTGCCACCTGATATTACAAATATTGTAAACAAGATACAAGTTGATATATAATGCTTTATTATGACAGATAATCGCATATATGATGATCGCTTCGTAAAATAATGATAATAAAAATCGCAGGGGTATATAGCGATCGTAAACACAAGAACATAACATTGTTTGTGGTTGCCTTTCATTAATTGCCCCAAGATTTATAAAAAAGATTGTACACCAGTAGATATCTTATAGTCCCAATGATTATCATGAATATATCAGCATCATACAAATGTTAAGTCCTTCTAGGACTCGTCAGTGATACAAAGGTTTCAATTCTGTAGCCGAGAAGCCTACTGAGATTTAAAACTGATCGAAAGATTGTCAAAATATTGCTGAGAAGGTCACTATCCCCATCAAAATGTAGCTGAGAAGGTCACTATTCCCGTCAAAATGTAGCTGAGAAGGTCACTACTCCCGTCAAAATGTAGCTGAGAAGGTCACTACTCCCGTCAAAATGTAGCTGAGAAGGTCACTACTCCCGTCAAAATGTAGCTGAGAAGGTCACTACTCCCGTCAAAATGTAGCTGAGAAGGTCACTACTCCCGTCAAAATGTAGCTGAGAAGGTCACTACTCCCGTCAAAATGTAGCTGAGAAGGTCACTACTCCCGTCAAAATGTAGCTGAGAAGGTCACTACGTCAAAATGTAGCTGAGAAGGTCACTAGTCAAAATGTAGCTGAGAAGGTCACTACTCCCGTCAAAATGTAGCTGAGAAGGTCACTACTCCCGTCAAAATGTAGCTGAGAAGGTCACTATTCTTATAGAAATACAAATGAATAGATCACTACCCCATAAAAATATAGCCGAGAAGGTTATTATCCCCCATCAAAAATAGCTGAGAAGGTCACTTTCCACATAACTCAATAAATATTGTATAGCTTATTAGTCGGCATCATACGTCATCCTTCTAGGACAACTAAGTTAAGGGTGGGGGGGGCCTTGGAAATTGAATAAATATGAAAAAGCGCTATTGTCATGGTTCATACAGGAAGTCATTTTTGAAATCAAAAGGTTCCGAGCGAGTGTTTCACGTTGCAGATGGGCTTACCTACAACACTGAGGTAAAAAACCGCAAGAATGGTCTACTATTGATATCAGAGGACAACGTAAAAATGAAAAATTTGATCAGGCACAATGGATGCCTATTAATTTAAAACACTGTCATACTGATTTTTCGTAATATCAGATTCAGGTTTCAATCAATCAATAAAAAGCGAAAATGACTTTAGATTTGGAGGTTTGTTTTACGTTTTTCGTACCGTATTTGATTAAATTATTTTTATAAACTCTTTAGAAAACATTTGACACACACAAAATGTATATAACATCGTAGAAAATCTGACAGAATCTTACTTCTCTTAAATTTGATATTTTTGTGAGGGTCAATTTTCATCCCACAAAAAATAACTTCTATGGGCGCTTTATTTTGTGTTCAATATATCTATACTTACACTTATTCGTGGACATATGAATTGGTCCTTTATGAGAACCTACAAATTCAACGACAATAAAACCAACACGAAAATGAATGCTTTCACAGTATAAGATTCGTTTACATGCGAAAATACTTTTTGTATTCCTTCCAGGTGTGAGAAATTGTAACACCTAATGCCCTGAAATGTAACGGGTTAACAAACCTGCAGTGGTCATAAACAACAATGATATCATTATATCATATTTTAATTGTTTGCTTTTGATCACTAAAAATTGACTATTCACCGCATCGCCCGGTACTCTATCGAAAATAAATAAAGTAAATATCGCATTAGTATGATTTTCCAACAAAAATATCTGTGAGCTCAGCGAGTTCTGTTTAAATATTATTTTATAATAATTTATTTAACTATAGATAAAGCTTTCGTCTGTGATACAGGTAGAATATAACCTGTCTGTGACGGCTACTGATATGTACATGTATATCGTTAAGAATAAAGACCGGTTTCACAATGTCAATCATTTTCTCAATTAATAAAAAATAAGATGTTTGGCGTGAAGGAATATTTACATTTCGCAGCTTTTCTATACATTTGAATTCTATGCTAGATATACATGAATAACTAGTGTTTACTATCCGTTCACGTTCAACTATTTTTATATCCCTTGATTGGACAATAAATAATTGTTTGTTTATTTATTTTATTGTCATTTATAACGCCTATGAACCACCGGAACACCTCGAAATCTCATATGAAAGAGGATCTATTGTCTGTACGGTCTGATAATATATACCTCCTCTGATGTGACGTCAATATATATCCGCATGCTAATATTTACCGACCCCGTTATTTGCTCTAATGTCCCACGTCTGAGCATTCATCCGAAATATTTTTTTGTTCTTTTCTGACATCTGCATCAATAGAAAATTACTACATTTGCTTATACAATAAATTATAGAACAATTGTGCTTTCTATTTAAAACTGAAAAATCCTATGCGAGAAACGCGTTACATGATCTTTAAGTATGCCGTCTACGTTGACATACAGTGAAATAATATCAAATAAAAATACTGAAAATACACGTATATTTAAGAGTTTTGTAAATTACATATCCTGATCACATGACCTTATTCTATATGCAATATGTTATCAGCTACATGCTAAGTTTATTTCATTCGACACGTACTTCACATTCTTCAAATTTTTTTAGATAAATAGAAATTACGAAATGAGCCTAATTAGGGAACAAGTGCACCTCGCTATTTAGATTTTGACATTTCTTTCGATCAATATGAATATTCCGCAGCCGCCTCTAAGGCTTAATATACTGTCCCTAAGGATCACTGACGAGTCCTAGAATGACAAAACAGCTGTATGCTTTCAATTCAGTTCAATTCAACAATTTACTTTATTCCGTACGCAAATAGCATATAGAATTACATAACAAATACATACATATTATAACAAAAGTTTATACATGATGGCGGAGAACATTTAACATCCTATATATATAGATATATATATAAATTTACAAAAACCATAGATTAATTTCATTTTCATTTTACATTTAAACATAAAAGATGTATTTAGTAACTTATATATGCAATAATAACTTTGTCTTCGCCATAGAGTGAAATAGATACCTACCTATGATGTAGTGCAATCATCCTATTGATTTGGTAAACTTTAAGTCTAACATCCTTTGCCGTCGTATTTCTATCAGCTGTTTAGCTATTCTATCAGTTGTTGGGCAGCGAAATAGGTTAAAAGAAAACATTTCTCCTTGGCAACTATATCCTGAAAACACTTAAGTGTTAGGTATACGCTGATCAGTCTTGTAAATCTTTTACGCCATTCGTTAATTTGATGCGAATATCATATTTTCCAATATAATTTACAAATGTTTGTTTCTCTAAGTGAACTTTACTTTTCTTGTGCTGCCTATCTCCAATTTTTTTTTTCTTTTTTCTTATTGTATATGTTTGATAAATAAAAATATAGTAATTAGTTGTTTAAAAGTCTAGAATAATAAAAGCCATTGAAATGGAAGTTGTATAAGTAATTCTAATTATAATATGACAGTAGAATTATAGGACATAATTTTAGCATTTTATGAGAGGAATGGTAATGTATTGAACATCGATATGTTAGGACAATTTTTATTTATGAATAATGATGATACTAAACACGGTTTCAAGTACAAAGGAACTGATGAACTTTTCGGTGATAAATGTAAAATGGAGCAAATCCATTCTGTAAAAAATGAATGCAGTACACAGCATTTTAAAATTATACAAACCTTTTCAACACTACCGGATAATGGAATACAATATGAGTGTAAGCTTCCTCCTGTTATATTTAAGATCAAACTGGTTTAACGTCTCCGCTATAACTTTGTTCACATCAACAAAAGCGTCAAATTAGGTGGCACCATACATATCGTTATGCTATACTCGTTAGTTTGCCTGTTGCTTGGATTGACCAAGATTTACATGGCAGGTGTCGTCGATGAAACAGACGGCGCCTTCCCTTCAGAAACACCTGGTCTTATTCTTCTTGTACCTTTTCTAAATCGTTCATTTGTTTGTCTTTTGCCCTAGTTTTATTGAATTCGAGTTTGGATTTTGATTCTATTGACATGTTGGTATTTTCTTGTCTTTCTTGGTTTTTTTCACACTGTTTACTACTTTTCTCAGGGGTCTCCGTGTATATCTTTCCTGTGTTTATTTTTTACCATTGTTTCATCGAATTTTTAATATATAATTTGTTTGGATTGATGTCTAAGGAGAGCGAGAGATTGGAACAAGATTGGAATTTAAATTGATAATTTATTCATCTCAGTTTAGGAACAACAAATAATATTTAGTACAGTGGCACTAGACATTTCACACAATGTTTAGACTTCAAAAATCAAAATCGAAGTTAAGTGAGATTTAACCAGAAATGTTGATTTCTTTTGACACAGGTGCCAACTGTGCAAGCGGCAGAACTATCGGTGAAAATGATCCAAAAAAGAAAGATGATGACCTGGACGGAACGGTGGGTGAGTTTGTTAACAGTTTAAGCTTTTGAAAATAGACAATGAAATGACACTGGAGACACATAATAACTATTCCATCTTAGGTTCCTTTTAAGTTGGCAAAAGTCTATTGGTGGTCAGGTGATGCAGTGGTGACGAATGCGGCTTACATCTAGACGTCCGAGATTCGATTCCTCAATCGGACGTGAAAAAATATCAGATCACGTGGGTTTCTCGCGAGTACTCCTCGTTTGCTCACAAATGGGCCATCAAAAGTAATCACTATATATTGGAACACTTGTTTCGCAATTGTCATTAAATAAAGTGACACAGTTCAAAATATACACATTTTTGCATAAGAACTTTTGGAAATCTTCCAATATCGAAAAAGTTTTGAATTATGAATTCAACAGATCATTTTCAGTAAAGCCTGATCGTCATGGGGTTGTCGCTTCTAGGTACAAGTACGCTCATCATTAATAAGGACTACCAAGTGGACTGTGATTGCGGAAACATTTATGAATGGGAGTACTATGCCAAAACAAATCAAGGGAATGTACATTTCCAGGTTTGGAGAGAAGTATCTGGGAGCGCAAATGTGTTCACTTTGGTAGGAGAAAATATCATTACGGTTACGTGTGAGTATTGACTAATGCTATGGTTCTCTTTATCTATTTACTTTCATTTTTCATTTATTGGTGTTACTGATGAAGATGAATCTATGAAGAGTTAGGGTTGTAGATGAAACGATACTAAACATAGACGAAGGGGCCACGGACGCACAATGTTGTGTACTTTTTTCTTTAATGCACTTACCATCTTGTTTTAGACATAAGATTAAAGTAAAGCGGTAAAAGTTGTTCGATTCCGTACCATCCCGTAAATTAAATACCTCAGTCCTAATACGCTTCACAATGGCTATTCGTATGATTAAGGTGACCGTATAGACATTGAAACGTTCCACTTAAATCTTCTACTGATTGTGTTACAATGCTTTTTATACTATTGATAATACAAACATAAAGAAAATGTTCAGAAATTTAGGTCATTTTATTGCAATAAACGAATCTTTTAACACGTGTTGGATTCTCGATTCTATGAAGCTTTAAGATCAGCTTAAAACTGACATGAACATTTCTGTTTTCAATTTCAAACAATACTTGCAGCGGCTATGGTTGACCAGGAAAACATTGCCTCCATCGCGACTGGACAGAGAATTCAAGTCCAACAAGATGACTACCTCGGGATGTAAGTATGAAATCGATTTCATCGTGATAAATGAACGATTATTCCGATGATTAAAAAAAACCCACGTACGGGGAAACGGTCTTGTAATCTTTTAATTATGGTTTGATTTGCCTTCTTGTCACTAGTGCATAATCAACAAGAATGAATATAATCTTTCGATCCGGGAAATAAAAAAAGATGACTGATATTTAATGTGAAAAAACTGGGATATACAATGTGCCCATAGGAACAAATTTAAATCACATGGCAACAATACATACTTTTATGCGAGGAAGAAAAATCAACCTTATAAATAAAGTAATTTGACTTATTGGTTAACGATTTCTATACTTCAGATACTATCCTGGCAATCCGATAGTGTCTAACAAGAACGAGGGGTCTGGAAAGGACTTTAAAGAGACCGAGTCTGTCGGGAATATAGGAGTGGGGAACACCTTTGACTGGGGTACTGTCACTACGACAGATGACAGGAAATATGCAATTAACGCCAAAGTCAATGACGGTATGTACAGATATCATCAAGTAACTTTAAAATGGATTGTTTCAGTTTCATCTGAAGAAGTAATATTCTAAATTTGTGTTTACAAATGTGTTTCATATACAAGGAAAATTTATTTCGTGGCTAATTTACCATTCATAATGTCGGAATGTAACATTAACTTTACAATACAACGTTTATACGTATGTCAGAGAAGAAACACCAAGTTATTTTATTGACATATACCAGACAATAGAAGGGAATTTGCGATCCAAATTGGGGATATTTTGCGACCTAGAGGGCATATTACCTTCTCATTACTGCGGCAAAATAATTAATAAAATTTTATCACATCATTATTTTGTACAAAATATTTTGGAACATTAATTTTTTTTCGCGCATATGGTGTTAGGTGAAGATTACCATATTTTCTTTAAGACGGACTACAATAGCATTTTTTTGTAAATATAAACAGTTTCCGATATTAAATTAATTGTTTTAATTGGTTTAATGGGAATGGTACGCAGTGACATTTGATTAGATCATTGTCTCTGAGACACCAAGACAGCCGTAAAATTGCCTTAGAATAGGAGTCGAGTTAAATGCTTGGAATTAGCTGAGTGAAGTCACTACGTCATGTATCTATCTCGTCTTACAAAAACTCTTCAACGATGGACGGAACCAAAGACATGAAAAACAGGAAATTTAGTGAGGAAAATATAATTAGGTTTACTCCCAATCAAACAAATGAACAAACTCCAATACATATAAAAAAAATACAAGAATCATTTTCAATACTATTCAAGAAACATTGGTTTCAAGTTAAATATGAAAACATTTTCAGTGTTTCAGCGCTTCCTTGGAATTCATATCCTTTGGTAATTTCAAACAATACTCATAACCGAAACCTCAAAGAAAAAAATAAGGGATTTATGTAAATAATTTTCTTCATGATCATTTATAATCAAATTATCCTCTAGTGGAATATTAAATTTAATTTGAAGTAAATTCATGGTATTATATATTGTGTGATGTGCCTAATTTATAATAGATATCCGAATTATCTATATCTAAAACGTCATCAATAAAGAGCTCGTCATACTTTTGATTTCTTGATTGCGTTTTCCAAGGCGACACCCCATCGTTTACCAACCTAGGTGGCGCTACGGTAACAATGGTGGACGCCTCTACTGTCGGACATTACCTGTTTACGGTGTCGGCGAGTGATGACGATGGAGATACTCTTACAACTACTATGAATACGGAAACTTACTTCGATTTCGACACTTCTACACGTAAGTAGACTTAACGCAGGTTCAGAATGACAAAGAAAAGTCCAATGTTTGTTTCATACTTAAGTCACTGCTTGCTTGCTTGCTGAACACCCATTTTACATAAAAATGTGGTCAGTATTCTGCATAGGCAATGCTCTCAGCTTTCACCATGTTGTTGCCCATAATAAAGCAGCTGATTTTGCAGTTGTTATAAAATATGGAAAGAAAACAAAATGAAGAACAATTAATATCAAGTATTCACGTATTTCCATATTAAACGTAATATTTATTGTTTGTTAGCTGATGACGTGTCTTTGCAGTACTAATGACTTGTTGTTGACATTTCAGTGCAGGTAACTGTAAAAACAAGTGGCGTTCCGGCAGGATCCTACACATTGAATTTTCAGACTAGTGACCCATGCAGCAATTCAGCCTCGGGTACTCTCTCTGTTACAGTAACAAATTCTGTAAGTTAATTTGATATATATTTAGTTTCCTGATTTCGTGCTATATAACTGTTGAATGTATTCACCTTCATCAGACAAACGACCAGTATGGACATTGGTCTGATGAAGGTGACAGTGTAGCCATCGAAACGTCACGCTCTAATCTTCTACTGGTTGTGCTATTCTATTATACTGACATTACCAACCTAAAGACAAATATCCTGCAATATTTGCCTAACGATTTACCTATAAATACCATAAAAATCTACTAAGAAACCGTAGACTAATTTTCAAGATAGGATTATGCTTGAGAACGACCTTTATCGAAATTTTAGGATATTTGAGCATTATGCTTACTACTATAGGTATTGTTTGGCCAGCTGATGAAGTGTTGAGAGTTGTATGCCCGGACTTAGTGCTCGCTATGTGTATTAAGCTTTGTATATGTATATCTAGGTGCCGATGATCCCTGTATCAAGCCTTCCTTATTACGCCTACATACATGAAGATACGACCGCGGAGACGTTACTGCATAGTATCACTATAACAGACGCCTCTCCTTCTGACACCATCACGTGCACTGAAACGGAGGCCAAATTCTTGACCAAATCATTGTCACCAGGTTGGTATACTTTTTTTAGTCGCAGATCCAGGTTTTCTGGTTAGAAAGGTAGCATGTGTTGAAAACTTTTCCCTCTCACTTTTTAAGTGTTAAACTGTTCTACCCCTTTCCCGGATTTCGTTTTTTTCGTATTACTGTATTCAAATAATTGAAGTCCTATGTATTCTCCTGTTACTAATGACATTGTTGCAAGATATGAAAATAAAGCTAAATTATTAAATAAATAATTTTGTAGTATTATTAGATTAGAGGACAGTAACACTGATGTTCCGATTCTTGAGCCTAAAACTGACAAACAAAATAGTTCAATTAGATTAAACTCGATTGAAATACGCAATGTTCTACAGATACTACTGCTGGTAAAGTTCATGTATTAATGATTTTTAAACATTTGTACAACTACTTATTATATATTTTTGTTTTACAATTATCAGTCTGGTTTTATGCATGGCCATTCTACAGTATGTCAACTCATTGATATTTACCACCAAATGTGTATTGCACTTGAAGAAAAAGAAAAAAACTACATGTGTTGTATTCTGTGACACATCAAACGCCTTTGATAGAGTATGACATAGAAATCTTTTAGCGAAATGTAGCTAGAAAATGCTTTATCTTATAGATAAAAAACGGTATTTATAAACACTTCATATTCATGGAGACAAGGTGTTCCACAAGATTCTATTTTCAGACCAGTATCATTTCTTATTTTTATCAATGGCGTAGCAGACTCTTTGCAGACGATAGTCATCTTCATCTTGTCTAGAAATTCAGGAAACTTTAAACAGAGACCTAGACACTTTAAATACTTGGTCAAAACTTGGTTGGTTACTTTCAATCCTGCAAAAACAGATGTATTGTTTATTTCGAATTTCGTTGATGTCGAAGAAGACTTAGAATCAGAATTTGATGGGAAAGTCTTATATTTTACACATTATCATAAACACTTAGGTGGAACTAGTAATTCGAATGCAAAGCGGAGGCGGGAGGAGGGGAAATAATGTAAATGGCATTTACACTTCAGTTATGAAAATACATAAATTGAGACACATATTAAGTGGGGATGCTCTCCTAAAAATTAAGACTATTATTTTTTTACTTTACCTATTTAAGAATAAAGAGGAAAATGTATTAATGTATACGATGCATAATTAATTAACTGCGGAATACCATAATCATCTTTTGCCGCCTTTATCTGGAGAAAATAATCTTACTAATTACGTAACAATAATAACCATAGGATCCCTCATTACAGACTATCCTTTATTAATTCTTATTTTCTACCTTCTACTCTTTACTGTTGGAATATCTAATCCTGTTTAACATAAAATATTCTCAAGTCCACCAATTTACTATAAAATTGTTGATATATTACATATTTAGTTCCAACACCTGTGCAGTTCCCATAATTATGACCTTTTCAAAGTAACATCGTTGATAATTCACCTTGTGATTGTGGTCATCCGTGTGAGAATATCTCGAATTTCTCGAAAGAAATACGCGTTTTAGTCCAAAATATAGATTATTGGAACGTTGCGTTAGATATAGAAATTTGTTTGTTTGGCAATTCTCAATTTTCCTTGGACCTGAATTCAAACAATTCTAGATTCGTGCAAAACTATATTAAGTCAAACAAGATATTTTGATATTAAATTGTAACATTAACTATATATTGGTATCGTCAGTATTGCAGTGTCATTTAAAATATATATTAGAAGATTGCGTTGATAAGTTGCAATAACTTGTGTCCAAGCCCTTGTCTATCTTTTGGCAATAAATATGTTAAAACTACAACTGACGCAATGTCTTAAATGTGAAAAACGCTAAAATTAAAGCACCTCTAAAATATGTTCGGTTACAGTAAATAATGTTATAGCTTCCTTCAATACATATATCAATACATCAAATAATTAATGCATTCAAATTTGAGGATAACGAATAAAATATCTTTAATTGTTTTGATGTGTTTATTCTATTTTTATTGCATTTCAGGGTATGGTTTATACTCCAAAGCGAATCCATCGTTTCAGTACAGTACTAAGAAGAAATATTCAATAGTTGTGACGTGTACAGACTCTTACTCAGATTCAGATAGTAGTTACTTCATCGCCTATATACTCCCTAATACTCCACCGTCATTCACAAATCTTCCAGGTATACTATCATCTGTTTCTGGGAATCTGGAGGGTTGCTTTGAACGTTATTTATCAGATTATTTAGATCTTTATTTCTTGAGTAAGTTTAATTTTTGTGTCTATTAACAACTGGAAGTTATGGTCTCTATTGTAAAGAATTTTTTCTCTGAAGTTTAAACTTTCGAAAAGAAGTAATTTACAGTATACATGGTATTTTGGTATGTTATTTCGCTACCTTACTAATCTGAATGTAACTGTTGGCTCCTTATGCAATTTAGGTTAAATTAATCCAGCTTGTCATCGTCTGAAAAAGACATTTAAGTGTGACAGTTATACAAAAATTTACAACTATCGTCATTTTTTCTATTTTTTTTTTTTAAATAAAAGATGGCTCCTTTGATCATTTTTGGCAAGTATGCATTCGTCGTTTTTTTTTTTTTTTTTTTTCCGATTTTGTAGATTCCGTGTCCATTTCAACGTCAACCTCTAGCGGTACAAGTTTTTACCAGGTATCTACGTCCGACTCTGAAGGAGATGGCATTACCTTCTCTTCCACGTGTTCGGTGGTCAGCTGTCCTTTTACTCTCGATGCAAGCAGTGAGTTGACCTTACAAGCTCCGTACTATACCTTGCGCCTCCATTGTTGTTTACCTTGCTCTCATTTTGGAACGTGACATTACTTACTTGAATTGACGACGTTTTACATTACGGATGGCTTCGATGAAGCAGCAGACGCACCCCTTCCAGAACATATGGTCTTATCAACTTATCAAATTTTTTATAGGGTTTACGTGTATATCGTTATTTTGTTCACATTTTGGCGTTGTTTAATCAATTAAAAAAAATGAATTTATATTCTGTAGATATTTCTGTTTCTGTTTCTGATTTACCAGACTATTCAGAAAAATGAGCCTTATATGATATTTCTAATATTCAACTGTTTCTTCATTCAATAATATGGAGTAGAGGGAAAATAAAATGTCGATGTTTTGAAAGATAGAATAAGTTTATTGTAGGTTACCTAGGATACAATCATTTATATTTATGACAAAACGTTTCTTAAGTGTATCACGGTACACACGTAAAAGTAACAGAAATGAGACACAATTATTGTTGGTGGCGACGTTGAAATTCTCCCGATTTTTATGATGATTTTTTTTTTGTCATAGCTGGGGAAATCCGAGCTAATACCAATCTCAATGTCTTGACAACTGTCGGTTACGAAATATTCGTCAGCATTAGTGACGGCCTTACCACGGTTGGACCAAGGACATTGACTATTTTGATAACAGGTAAGATTAGCTTTTGCATTAATCATACTCATTCATTACAAAGTCCATAATTGAATATTTCCACATATCCGAATATATTACATGTAGAGTTGATTCATATAAAAACTTAGAAATATCAACCTTTATATAATATAAACTTCTATACCGAGATAAATACTTAAAACGCAACATCTCTGAGAGGGCATGCTGTATCGCTTGGTACATCGGTAAACTGATGTAATGTTATTATTCAATTTCACAATATAAAAAAAGTTACTTCTACGCATTTCATTGGATGATTGACGTCACGTGGTGACCGTTTATTTTTCTACAGACTTCATAGACGGTTATATGGCAGCCAACGTAATTATGATGTGCATCAAGTCGTTATTTAAACGTGAAAAGTAGACACATATCATAGCAATCACACCATAATTATCTGTCATGTTCACTGCATTGATTCCTTGAAGGTTTCTACTATTTATAGACATTTGTTGTATAAAGTAATATAAAAAGGAAGCCAGATTTATAAGAATTATCGTCTTTCCTCGCCATTATAAAACTGATTTTGCCTCTACATGTCCGAAACAACCAAGTTATTTACAAATGTATCATTTTACGCTTACTCGGTTATTGATTCTCATCTTGTTCGTTTGTTTAACTAACAGATTGCAGGATCAAATTGATATCGCACATTACGTGCTTTTAACTGATGTTGAAAGTTTAACTGATGTTTAAATGTTCACAGTAAAGTAATTCAACTGAAGTTACCTCCCATGGTGTAGTGAATTTAATCTTTAATTTGTATAATATCTTAAAATGACCGACTTTTCAGCGGTATCGGTATTTCCTACGCCTCTTAGTTTAAGATAAAATATTATCATTTCTGAAATCTGTTAAATGAATTCAACGTTAACATTCTACTCATTGTTAAGAAATGTATGCAATCAGAGATAGTTGCATTCAACCACTCAAATCCTATTTGCGTGAATTTCGGGGTAAATTCGTTTAAATGATCGAAAAACAATTATCATTTAATTCGCCTATTATCCACTGAGAACGTCCATATGATATATTTACGTATATGTCAGTACTGTAATATACCCATTTTTCATTAACTTCGCCAGTAAGAAATCGAAAGTGATGTCATAATAAGGACAATGTTGTTACGTCATGCATTGGAAACGGCAAAACAGAATGGCTGCCTCCAATTAATTTGTTCTCCACATATTTACTTTAATACCCGTCGAAATTTTCATGAGATGAAACTCATTTAAGATCCTATATATACTGAGAGGATAAAGAAACGCAACTTCTTTAATTGTCAAATATTTTGTATTTACTTTACAAAGCCGTATAAAACGTTAGAGTAATGGCACTTTACCTTATCATTCAATAAGTATTAGAAATAAATCACCCATGACATAATAACGTATCCACATCCGTTCTATTGCATTCAAACCAATGTCGATTCCTGATTGTCAACAAGTCAATATTTGTGGGTTGTTTTTTTTTTACAAAAATACCACGGTTATCCCAACTTGATAGAGGACGGGTTTCACAAGGCTCATAGGAGGTAGCACTCAACAGCAGGTCGCAACTCACTTCGGAAGTCAAAAATCAACCATAGGTCGGTTAGTCTGAAAGACACGGGAAGAATTGATGAAAGATCGAGATCCGGACTTCCACGTGTAACGTCATGATTTCACAATCGGTTCATTAGGCTTGCCCAGTTGCGTGACAGGAGATTTTCGGCAGTCGAAACGGCATGCATTAGCATTGGAATGAAAACAATCGAATCCACTTAAAGTCTTTTAAACATTTGCGAGAGGTAATTTATCTCCATGTCGCCATTACGCTTGTTTGCCACTGACACCTCAACGTCGATCACGTTGTACGGAGGTCCGAGCTCTTCACGGATGAATCTCGATTCATGTTATTTCGATCAGATAGTCGTCAGTCGTCAACGGGTATACCGGCGTAAAGGAGACGTTTTGGAGATGCTTGTGTTTTGCAGCACGACAAGTTTGGGAATGGATCAGGCATGGTTTTGGGAGGAATTTCTCACAGTTGAATGACACCTCTATTGATCAGTAACAGGATTTTAACTACAATACGCTATCGACGTAGAGTCATGGCCTCGTGGTGTGCATTTCATTATACATGTAAGACATCATTTAACCTTTCGGTATGATAACGCTAGGCATGTTGGAAAACCGATTGATTGGCCTCCATATAGCCCCGATTTGTCCCCAATCGAACACTTATGGAATAGAATAGAGAAAGGTGAGTTCGTAATCGAGCAAACGTACTAGATAACCTCCGCCAATTGGCCAACGATCATTCAAATTCCTCTATGGACAGTCGATGTTCTTATGAACTCCATGCCACGTAGAATTCTGCAGCAGCTCGGGGAGGGCACACACTATTTCAGTATGGTAACTACTGTTATTTCAGCTTTGTGTACATTAAGGTACCCAAATGGTAGGGCATAATGATGTTCTCATCTGTTTAGAATTATTGTTAATTAAAGTATTGCATTTCACATTTAGGATATTGCTCATAAATGTATTAATAAATTGTAAAATTGAGGTTGCAATTTTTCCTATTTTGTAGGTGCTATATTTACCATGCGTTTTCGATGCTACGCGGTTGTGTAAATAAGACGAATACTAAATAGCATTTGATAATTTACATATCTATCTCGAACTTCTTACCATACATAAGCTGAAAAATAAGGGATGCTCACATTAAAGGTAAAGTATTAATCCGAATAATTTTGTGATGGACAATTACCTCTTTCCATTTAGTCAACCTTCACATTGCCTGTCTGTCCACAGATATAAACACTGACCCAGTGATTCAGAACCTGCCGTTACCCTTCACATTGCCTGTCTGTCCACAGATATAAACACTGACCCAGTGATTCAGAACCTGCCGTTACCCTTCACATTGCCTGTCTGTCCACAGATATAAACACTGACCCAGTGCTTCAGAACCAGCCGTTACCCTTCACATTGTCTGTTTTTAGATATAACCACTGACCCAGTGATTCAGAACCTGCCGTCATCCTTCACATTGTCTGTCCTCAGATATAACCACTGACCCAGTGATTCAGAACCCACCGATACCCTTCACATTGTCTGTCTGTCCACAGATATAAACACTGACCCAGTGATTCAGAACATGCCGTTACCCTTCACATTTTCTGTCTGTCCTCAGATATAACCACTGACCCAGTGATTCAGAACCTGCCGTTACCCTTCACAATGCCTGTCTGTCCTCAGATATAAACACTGACCCAGTGATTCAGAACCTGCCGTTACCCTTCACATTGTCTGACTGTTTTTAGATATAACCACTGACCCAGTGATTCAGAACCTGCCGTTACCCTTCACATTGCCTGTCTGTCCTCAGATATAACCACTGACCCAGTGATTCAGAACCTGCCGTTACCCTTCATAGTGTCTGTCTGTCCTCAGATATAACCACTGACCCAGTGATTCAGAACCTGCCGTTACCCTTCATAGTGTCTGTCTGTCCACAGATATATAAACACTGACCCAGTGATTCAGAACCTGCCGTTACCCTTCACATTGTCTGTCTGTTTTTAGATATAACCACTGACCCAGTGATTCAGAACCTGCCGTTACCCTTCACATTTTCTGTCCTCAGATATAACCACTGACCCAGTGATTCAGAACCTGCCGTTACCCTTCATAGTGTCTGTCTGTCCTCAGATATAACCACTGACCCAGTGATTCAGAACCTGCCGTTACCCTTCATAGTGTCTGTCTGTCCACAGATATATAAACACTGACCCAGTGATTCAGAACCTGCCGTTACCCTTCACATTGTCTGTCTGTCCACAGATATAAACACTGACCCAGTGATTCAGAACCTGCCGATACCCTTCACATTTTCTGTCCTCAGATATAACCACTGACCCAGTGATTCAGAACCTGCCGTTACCCTTCATAGTGTCTGTCTGTCCACAGATATAACCACTGACCCAGTGATTCAGAACCTGCCGTTACCCTTCACATTGCCTGTCTGTCCTCAGATATAACCACTGACCCAGTGATTCAGAACCTGCCGTTACCCTTCACATTGTCTGACTGTTTTTAGATATAACCACTGACTCAGTGATTCAGTACCTGCCGTTACCCTTCGCATTGTCTGTCCACAGATATATAAACACTGACCCAGTGATTCAGAACCTGCCGTTACCCTTCACATTGTCTGTCTGTCCACAGATATATAAACACTGACCCAGTGATTCAGAACCTGCCGATACCCTTCACATTTTCTGTCCTCAGATATAACCACTGACCCAGTGATTCAGAACCTGCCGTTACCCTTCATAGTGTCTGTCTGTCCACAGATATAACCACTGACCCAGTGATTCAGAACCTGCCGTTACCCTTCACATTGCCTGTCTGTCCTCAGATATAACCACTGACCCAGTGATTCAGAACCTGCCGTTACCCTTCACATTGTCTGACTGTTTTTAGATATAACCACTGACTCAGTGATTCAGTACCTGCCGTTACCCTTCGCATTGTCTGTCTACAGATATAAACACTGACCCAGTGATTCAGAACCTGCCGTTATCCTTCACATTGTCTGTCTGTCCTCAGATGTAACCACTGACCCAGTGATTCAGAACCTGCCGTTACCCTTCACAATGCCTGTCTGTCCTCAGATATAACCACTGACCCAGTGATTCAGAACCAGTCGTTACCCTTCACAATGCCTGTCTGTCCTCAGATATAATCACTGACCCAGTGATTCAGAACCTGCCGTTACCCTTCACATTGTCTGACTGTTTTTAGATATAACCACTGACCCAGTGATTCAGAACCTGCCGTTACCCTTCACATTGTCTGACTGTTTTTAGATATAACCACTGACCCAGTGATTCAGAACCTGCCGTTACCCTTCACATTGTCTGTCTACAGATATAAACACTGACCCAGTGATTCAGAACCTGCCGTTATCCTTCACATTGTCTGTCTGTCCTCAGATGTAACCATTGACCCAGTGATTCAGAACCCACCGATACCCTTCACATTTTCTGTCTGTCCACAGATATAAACACTGACCCAGTGATTCAGAACCAGCCGTTACCCTTCACATTTTCTGTCTGTCCACAGATATAAACACTGACCCAGTGATTCAGAACCTGCCGTTACCCTTCACATTTTCTGTCTGTCCACAGATATAAACACTGACCCAGTGATTCAGAACCTGCCGTTACCCTTCACATTTTCTGTCTGTCCACAGATATAAACACTGACCCAGTGATTCAGAACCTGCCGTTACCCTTCACATTTTCTGTCTGTCCACAGATATAAACACTGACCCAGTGATTCAGAACCTGCCGTTACCCTTCACATTTTCTGTCTGTCCACAGATATAAACACTGACCCAGTGATTCAGAACCTGCCGTTACCCTTCTCATTGTCAGTATTGGAGGGTGTTGGATTGAGCACTTCTGTATACCAAGTGTTAACGGCTGATCCAGACAGTGCCACACAGAGCCTCACTTACAGCACAACATTCAGCCCGGTGGAAGGGGCTACCATATTCACGTTGGATACAGCGAGTAGGTAGTTTTCATGATGATCGATGACTAAATTAAAATAAAAATATGAAATAGAATAGAAAGAAAATAATAAATTAAATAAATGATAAAGCAAAAAAAGTGTATTTAGCTAGAATATCACAAAGTTAGCAAAATGATGATAGCACAATCTATAAAATGATGCCTAAAATATTCTAAGAATGAATATTTAAATCTATTTATGTTATTGACCGTAGTCAATAAATAACAACTGGTGTGAGTAAATCATTATCTAACCAAAGTCACCTTGACGAAATGTACGCAATTAAATCCAAATCTCTGTGTCGTCTGTTCCTGGAGACCTGCCATTTTGTTAACTCTAGAGCATATGAACGCTTGAAATAGTCAGTTTTGCAAAGCTTCTAAACGACCTGGGACTATCTACTCTAGAAACTTAGTAACCATTTTTTCCTTAAGTAGCTTATGTAATGAAGATCAAACAGTTATGAAACTAGGGTGCCGTAACTGGTAGTTTTCGATCTTGTCAACAATAAAACTAATTAATTGTATGTTGAAAGATAAAGAATCTAAAACCAAAACAAGCAATAATTGCTACACTAAAACGAACCTTATTCGTCTCAATGTAGTTTTCAACCCACATCAGCGGAATTTGTGTTTATCAGTAGGTATATCAATGATCCTGTATGTATCTGTATTCTAAAGTTATGTTGATGAATCCTGCTAGCACTTTTATTCAGTCAGAAAAGCTAATTGTGCGTATCATACATCAATATATAGATATTTACACTAAGTATATTAAAATGTTATATCAAATATTTTTACGCACCTCAAACATTGGTATGTACGGCGTTAATAATTACGACGTCATTATGAAGTGAAATAAATAATATCATATTTTCATATTTTTTAGTCAATAGAATTTTTCGAACTGGAACAAATTATTTTTGTAGCTTTTGTAAATCGGAGAGAAAATTTTCTTATTTCAAATATCATTATTCTATTTCCAATAGTGTTGACGTGTAGTTCGTTTATTCGATGACAGCTCTATTTCGTGTAATCATTATTCTGTAAAAAAAAATTGAATGTTTTTTTATTTTAATGTATATAAATATATATCTTCAGATACTTTTTCTGTACTCAGTGTGATTTGAATATTTATTGTACCACAAATTCTCTTTAAAGCCGGACTTTTGCATACATCATCAGCGACTCAGATCGACTACGAGGCTTTGACTGCAAAATCTTTTACTGCGTCTGTTAGCGTGACGGATGGCCAGTCGACGGACACGCAGTCAGTTACCGTCGCCGTCGCGGACGTAAACGAAGCTCCAACATTTGCACAAAGCACGTACTACGTCACAGGAAACGAGGCTGGAGTAAGCTGTTTTTATCTCATCATGCGTAACTTTAGGAGTTTATCACAGATCATGCGTCATGTCATTCAAATTATCCGTTGTTTATGTATCAAGTTCTTTGAATTTGTTAAAATAAATTAAAATGCGCTTTCCCGCAAGTTTAACATCATACAAATTACATAAAACAACAGCACGGACTTTTAATTCAATCCAAATGACATTTTAATCTAGTGGAAATTTATTTCGCTTAGATATGATGATACAGAGTAGACGCCAAGCAGAAATTTGGAAGCACCAAAAACGAAACTGCGCTTTGATTACAGAGTTGTACATGTTTCTAATGCGCATTGATATACCGAATTCGAAAAAGGGCAATCTTTGCGACATCCTAAGTTATTGAACAGTATTACGCAATCCTTCCGCCAATCATAAAATGGCATTGGTTGACGGTTTTAATGTCAGAATATACATATGCACTGAACGTTTGATTATCTGATATACCGTAATTATGAAATTTGTTTAATTATGGAGCTGGTTCACCTTCCCCATCTAGATTTTGATTTCCTTTCGAACAATTTAGAGTTTTCCTCAGTCGCCACCTAGGCTTCAAAACGTAGCCCTTAACATCAATGACGAGTCCTAGAAGGACGATACAGATGTATGATGCAGTTAATTCTTTGTTAGACGCTTATCTTAATTTTAAAAGGTGATATTCATTTTGTGTTTTTTGTACTATCGTTCATGATGTATAACATGCTCCGTAGATCCGCATGTGTCCAGAAATATTTTTTCTTTTTTAGTCAGGGACAGTTCTTGGAGATCCACTCCTGTCAGTGTCTGACCCTGATCCTACAGATGTCATCACATATAGTATAGATTGTGAAGATTTCAATATAGATCCTACGACTGGCGTCATTTCGTTTGCTGTTGATTATGACCTTGACATAGCTAACACTTTGTCATCAATCTCGTGCACGATTACAGCTTCCGATGGTGACCTTGTGGCGTATTCTACCCTGTTTATAACGGTGATTGACGTAAATGATAACACTCCTACATTTGGATCTGAATATTATACATTTTACACAACAAGTTTTGCATCTGTTGGTGACGTCATAGGCAGTTTGACAGCGACCGATGGTGATCTTGGAATATATGGTAAGTAGAAAAACGACTTTATTAATATTAAATGAATTATAATTTATAGTCCACCTCTTTATGAAGTCATTTCTAGTCGTTACTTATTTATCGTGGGAGTTACAGCGATTAGGGGTAGAGACATTAATCCCGGACACTTTCATGAGAACGTCTCCCAAAATCTGATCATATGTTGCCATTGAATAATTTCTTTCACATCTATATAAAGTTGGTTATTGGGAGATACAAAGATAATAATTTTACCTTTCACCTTGACGTCCGAGGTTCGATTCCTGGAACATACGTGAAAAGTATGGGGCCATGTGACCATCACGTGGGTTTTCCCTGGGTATAGTTTTAACAATTAAGATTTAAAAAAGTAAACTTATTAGAACATATTGCTTAACATACTATACATTAAATGAAACAAAAACAAACCAGGTGTTTTACTACATTGTATTTTCTCGTCCATAAAATAGCAAACATACATATTATTGGAAATTAACCTTGAAGATCCAACTATATGCATATATGTTTGTCTTATTATGTTGTTTTCAAATCAGGATGAAAAACTGAATAAATGAAAAATTAGGGGTTGTTTCATAATATACGGGACGTCTTGGATTGTACATATATGATACAGTTACTCTCACGACATGTGTAGAAGGACGAAACAGCTATATGGTGCCGTTTAATACATCGTTAGGCTTTACTGTTTTCAACCCAACTTTTTATTTCTAAGTGTTATTAACATGTGTGTCTTTTGTACATTTTTTTAAAGTTTTCTTTTCCTGTGTGTTTTGAGTATTAATGTTAACAGTTGTCTCTAGTGACCAAATGAAGACATATAAATATTACCTACACACAATTCACGTAAACGAGTATCATTGGAATACATTTACTTTGACGTTGTTTACATTCAATAACTATGGTTATATTTTAGGTTCTATAACCTACTCAATAGACCAGAGTGCCCTTGCTGACACGTATTTCGGAGTCACCGGTATCGGAAGTGTGTACATCACGAAGTCCACTTCATCCCTAGGAGCAGGAACGAGTTTTACTTTCTCAGCCATTGTTACGGATTATGGTGGCCTAAATGGTAACATACTTATAGCCGCATTTACGTATTACATATTCATAACCAACGTTAAGGAAATATCATGGATACATTGTAAAATATTGACACCTGTGCGCACATGTAGATATGTGAAAGACGTGAATAAAGACCGGGTTGCCCCCTTTACTTGAAATTAAATGTACTAGCCCACCACCTTTGGGGTCGTGGGATCGAGGTCCACGTGGACAGTCGAAAATTACTTGCCGCAGTTTTTCTCTGGGAACTCCGCCTTTCCTCCATTACCCAAACCTGGCATGTCCTTAACTAACCCTGACTGTTCACAGGATGTAAAGCAACAAATAACTAAACCTCATAGCAATTATGAATTGTGCTACACCGCTGTTCACTTAACTGGTAGTTTCATTTACGTCACTGAATTTAATATGCTGCACCTCCCCGTCTAGATTTCGACTTTTCTTTAAATCAATTTGGATTTTCCTCACTCGCCTCAGAGGGTTCATAATATATATCCTTAGCATCAATGACGAGTACCAGAAGGACGAAACAGCTACATAAGTAATTGTTTGGCCCTACTGTGTCTAACTCCAAATTTGTATTGAAAGATGCAATTCGCTTGTGTGTCTTTTGTACAATCTTATTGTTTATTAACCCACAGATACAGCTTGGGTCACCGTGGTGATCGTGGCTACAACGACGGTACCGTCAACAACAACCACAGAAAGATACCTCACATTCTTCGATGATGCTCGGAACGTCGCATGGATCACTAGTTTTGCGATGTGCGGGTTCGGAGCGGTCGTTTTAATAGGATACTTAATATATAAACATGATGTTCTTACTTCTTTCGCAAAAGCAGTCAAAGACACATTCAGCAGAAGGTAAGAGAAAACGATTTAGAACATTCTAGAACCATCATCAGTATGAGCTGCTTCGGGAAGTTTTGGTATTTTTCTTTAAATACATATTTTCTGTCATTGAAGTGCTTTTACTTTGATTGAGGTTTAGAATGTTCAGTAACAAGTTCTGTACATGTCATATCGAAACTATTGGACATTGGAATGTACATATAGTATGAGATATGTGAATCGGTCTGAATTGTGTCCACAGATTATCAGCAAAAAGAGGTTTTAAAATGTTTAATGACAACGTTGCCGGATTAGATGGAAGATTTTTTTATATAACATGAATTGTTTTATTCAAATTGGTCAATATTGCGTTTAAGACTGACTGTTAAAATGTCGAATTAGATATTTACTCTGATCAAGATATTGAATAAACTGGCTGAAATGTCGATTTGAGGTGTTCAGATCAGATCAATATATTGAATATCTAGTGTGTCAGACCAGACAAGTCAAACTGGCTGAAATGTCGATTTGAGGTGTTCAGATCAGATCAATATATTGAATATCTAGTGTGTCAGACCAGACAAGTCAAACTGGCTGAAATGTCGATTTGAGGTGTTCAGATCAGATCAATATATTGAATATCTAGTGTGTCAGACCAGACAAGTCAAACTGGCTGAAATGTCGATTTAAGGTATCAGATCAGATACGTTAATGTTAATATCAAAATGCCTCATCAGATTATGTTGATAACCTACTCTGTCACCTATACTTTGGGAATAAAATATTTATCTGAGTAATAATCGAAGGCACGTTCCCGAAGTGCAAAAAGTCGACATCCGACTCACAAACTCATACCACAGAGTTTCAAAGTATGCAGCTTGATAAAAAGTATGGGGAAGTTTTATGGCAGTCATTGTGATCTCATTTAGAAATATTCTATATGAAGCTGGTTGTTGCTCGTCAATTTGTCTGTCAGTTCCGCTGTGGTATACCTTGTTTTTTTATTTGAGAACGTTACATTACCTGGATTCACATTGATTTACATGGCGTGGGTCGTCGATGAAACAAGAGACACTTACTCTTCCGAAACATCTGGTCTTATCTCTGTGTGCTTCTTCAGCAGACTCCACATAAATCTTACTTTTGTTCATATTTTGCCATAGATTTTCTGAGTTTGTGTTTGGTTTATGATTATGTTGACATGTTGGTATTTCCTTACTGATTTTTTTTTATCGACATTAAGTCATGGTGTCAATATCATATTTCTAAGTATCAATATCCAAGAGATAAACTGTAAGTAATGTGGTTGTCATGGTGACCAAGATATTTTAGCACTGTATATATGACACCGTTTCTAGTCCAGTATTTGTGAATATGACACCGTTCCTCCATCATCTTATTATTCTTTTGTTTTTACAGCAAGCCGAAAACTCGTCCTAGGAAGTCAAAAAAATCTTTGAGTAAGTATAAGTTTTTTTTTTAAACTGAATTTAGCTGATGAAGTTTAAATATAAAAAGAACTGAATTTTTATATAAGATCTATACTTTGTATGGTATTGCATCCACATCATATAGGGTTTTATACGATTTCCATATAATGTTGTAAAACTGTTTTGGAAATATACCATATCTTAATTGCTTAGGATTTCTGTTCACGGTTGTGTATTAGTCTCGGAGATGTACATAGTTACACTTTCCGAATGGAAATGATTAAATATTTGCATAACCAATTAAATAACCTGTTGATTAATTAACATCCAGAGAATGATATTTTTTAGATCTACGTAGGAAGCGAAGGCAGGTCGAGAATAGTACCCGAACACAGAGGAATAATGGGACACGGCTGTGAGAATGGCTTTCCGCATTTGTATATGACATTGAAATCGATGAGTTAAATCACGTGACATTTGTCTGCAATAAATCCGATATGATGTAAATAACTTGATCTTACCATGTAACGTGGAAAATTTGCGATCCACCGAATATGTGGGATAATTACAATGGATTAATGCAAAGGTAAATAAACAACAATAATGAAATACACGACCGCGAAAATTTAGTCCGTAAAATAATGAGACAAGTGTGTGTAAAATGTCTTTTAGTATCAGGACGTGTTTACGTTTGACTCGCGAAAGTTGCCAAATGTGGCGAATGTTTAACAATTTGATTGATATTTTTTTATTTATTTGTTTGTTTACTCTATTTCAAATTCTACATGTTTTTTATGATGTATGTTAATTTTTAATGTTTTGTTACTTGTTAATTAATACCCTTTGAATTTTATTAATTCAGATAGATTCATGGGAATTTAACTGCATGTGCCTTAATTTAACTGTAATTCAAGAGATTGTAAAGTGATGTAAAATTTCCCACCGTCTATTTGCGTGTCTAGATCGAATTTTGCCATGAAAATTATCTCGATCTACACAAGTACCTGACGTCGTTTGAAATCATTCAAAAACAGTTACTGAATTTCGGGGGAAATGTAGCTCCCCGTCTGTTTTTGATATTTATTTAGACCAAGTCTGATATTTCTCAGACGTGTCCTAGGTTTTAACATTTCACATAATTAGCTAGTCCTAGAAGGAGGAAACAGCTGCATGATCAATTTTGATTTATTGTTTGATCGTACCGAATTCTGCATACGCATCTACTATTCACGTGTGTGTCTTTTGCACAAACTTTTGAAAGTCCAATATAATTCTTATAATTTTTAACTTTTTTATCTTGTTATTATGACCTTTTTATCTAATAAATGAGTACCTTGATTTGGCTATGTTTTGGTGTCATACTGTTGTAAAACTTCGTCTTCTGAACCGTAAGTTCTAAAACCAATACTTGACCTAGATATGACCTAAAGTTAAATGATATGACACACGAAGTGAACTATATCTCACTGATCACCTTCGACGTCACAGAGGCCAAAATACACAGCACTCTCAACATGTTATTGATTTTTCCATGACTGGTTAATCTAACCAAATAAACTAACATATATTTAAAAGTAGTAAAGCAAATACCTAAATGTTAACAGAATCTGAATTCAAACACAAATTCAATGAAAATGTGATAAAATTAATATGAAAGAAAGAAACATAGGTAGCAGTAAACAGTTAATTTGCATTTTTCCTGAAATTATTTGTCATGTTTGAGATATACAGGTATAGCAGATTGGTTATGGAAAATACATCATTACATGTATATATATTTATTAACTATATAACAATTACATTAACAGTAGAGAGATGAAATTTGTGTAAAAAAAAATTTCCTCTGATTTCTGACATTTGATTGTCATGGTTACTTACTGAAAAAATGCTAAAAATGCAAAAATACTGCTAATTCCAACCCAACACTACAACTTTCTAGGAGAAATTTAATTCTAAACACCTATCTTACAATCAACAACACTGTCATGGTAACAAAGTACTTACATTTCAGCAAATTCCAACTCGGAAATTCTTCATAACATGACCACATGTGAACACTATGAAAATTTCACTTCCTGTAAAGCTAGTTTCTGGTGCGTAGACACAGATTCGAGACTGCCCAAATAGTAATCTCCAACACAAAGCTAAAATATTATCCTGAAAAAAATGAAACCCCACATTGTCCACTTTAACATGACAGAACCAATTTTAGCAAGGGTTTTTTTTTCATTTTTAATTAAAACCTTTATAATGGGGTAATCTAATGAGCAAAAAAATCACCCATGGCCACACCGAGAAACTGTGTACTGCTACCTTATACATCACAATTAGTTTTTTTAATTTCATTAAAATCCCTCTGAGTGTCTCGAAAATGATCACACGAACAAAATGATATATCGCTTTACTGTGTATCTCGAATAGCTATCGAGTAATATAGATTTTCCCGCATGGTGTGTTTTGACCAATTCTGCTCTCAAATTAGGAAGAAAGGGAGGTAATTTGAAAAATTAAAACCTCAATAAGTCTTAAATTTACTTGAATAAAGTTGCAATTGAAACTGAATCAAGTAGTTTGTGCTTCTGTGAATTTAGATAACTGAAAAGCAGATTGATACTACATATATAAAGTCTGATGTTATGACGTCATGGTAACAGCTGATGTCATCATTACTATGACGTCATCAATTGCTAATGATGGCTTCACCAATGCACTGTGATGTCATAGTGAAGGCTAGAAATCCCACAAAAACTTTAAATTAGCATCTGACACATTTCTCGAAAGTAATTAACAGTGATATGACATAAGATATTCTTAAATGTCATGTGTATGACAGCACAAACACCTATGATTACTGCCCCCCACCCTTCTTCAAGTGTAATATTAGAAACCCTATAACATTGCAATATTGTTCGAAAAACAGTATTTTTTACAGCAGTAACTATGGAAATGTAATTTTATGACAATATTAACATGATTGTATGCCCAATCTATGAGAAATACACACACATTATTGAGTAAAAATCATCAAAACAGAGAATTTATCCAAAATTCAAAAACTCATACTTTCCTTCTTAGTTACCATGGATACCACACCTTAAACTATTGGAATTGCCCTATAATCCAGTCTAAATACATTCTAAGGTTGTTACTGACTTATTTTATACCTGTTACCTACTGTAAAACAGTTTTCAAACTGACACCAAGCCTTTTGAAAACAGCTGAAATTCTCACCCACAAGAGCACCCAAATTACCTCCCTTTATGCACCCCTGATGAAATTAAAATAAAATCATTATGAACAAGTTTCAGTGTGTTTTTTATGTATTTATAGCAATTATGGAAAGGATTAAACTTAATCAAACATAGTAAAGCACATTTTAAATAAATAATTTTTTTTAATGTGCTATAAGGTAGCAGTAAACAGTTAATTTGCATTTTTCCTGAAATTATTTGTCATGTTTGAGATATACAGGTATAGCAGATTGGTTATGGAAAATACATCATTACATGTATATATATTTATAAACTATATAACAATTACATTAACAGTAGAGAGATGAAATTTGTGTAAAAAAAAAATTTCCTCTGATTTCTGACATTTGATTGTCATGGTTACCTACTGAAAAAATGCTAAAAATGCAAAAATACTGCTAATTCCAACCCAACACTACAACTTTCTAGGAGAAATTTAATTCTAAACACCTATCTTACAATCAACAACACTGTCATGGTAACAAAGTACTTACATTTCAGCAAATTCCAACTCGGAAATTCTTCATAACATGACCACATGTGAACACTATGAAAATTTCACTTCCTGTAAAGCTAGTTTTTGGTGCGTAGACACAGATTCGAGACTGCCCAAATAGTAATCTCCAACACAAAGCTAAAATATTATCCTGAAAAAAATGA